GCTCTACAGGCCGCGCACTGCCGCGCCGCGCCCGCCGCCGGACGCGGGATGACTGACAGCTCGCCCCAGCCAATGAGCGCAGGCGGGAGCTTCCGGGCCTCCACCACCCAGGGACCGGAAGGGGAAGACGCTTGCCGCTCCGTGACTCCGGACCAATGAGAAGCCGGCAGGGCGGTTGGCCCCTCCCCTTGCTGCCGGCGGGTGGTTGCGCTCCGCTTCTGGCGCAGAGCGGGGTGGGACTACGTCGGCGTGCTAGACCCGGGCTGGCGGATCCGGGAAGGCGGCCCCTTGAGTTTGCGATGCCGCCGATTTTATAGTGATTTTAAACATCTGCTGACACCCGTGGGACGGGAACGACCGTACCTTCCCTCTTTCCCTCCACAAGAGATTTCATTAGAAAGGGCATGGCAAGTTATGGTTGTTGCGCATGTGCAGCTCCGGAGGCGCTGGCTGCTTTTCGTTAAAGTGAACGGGCTGTAAAGGAAAGAACCACGAGTCTTCGTCTCAACAGTTAATAATTGTTGTGGACACTGCAAATAACTTTGCATGCCTTGGTCGATAAGAACTGAAAACTTGGATAAAATGGTTATTAATGATAAGGAAATTGAGGCGTTGCTTTCCCTAGGTCAAGCAAATCAAGTCTCTTGAGAGGTACTTTATGATCTGACCCTAGCAAGGCCTCTTCACCTAGCCTAGAGCCGGCTAATAGTAAGTCTGGGGAAGTGGTCAGTTTTTTGCTGTGTGTTTTCCAGATTCCAATCTCACCTCCCTGCAATACTAACATTGGAGCTGGTTTTGTTCCAGAATGAATGGACAGGTTGTAGTTCAGAAAATGATGCACACAGGTCAAGACCTTAGAGGATTGCTTGTGAAAGAAAGGACAGTTTTTGTTTTTAGTAACAGTAATTTGGTCTTAACCTGTATACTATTTATGCAGAGGCCCACAATTGGATAGGTGAGGAAGAATTTCACTATCTTATTAAATAGTAAATGTTACAGAACCCACCATCTACAAAACAGGACAGCCAGGGCAAGACAGAGAAAAACCCTCTCTCTAACAAAACAAAAACAGCCACTTGGGAGGCAGAGGCAGACAGATCTCTGAGTTCGAGGCCAGCCTGATCTACAGAGTGAGTTCGGGGATATCCAGCAATATATAGAGAAATCCTGTCTCGAATACAATTGCCACCCATCCTCCCAGAAAAAGAAGGAGAAAGAGAAGAAGAAAAGAAAGAGGAAGTGGAGAAAAGGACAAGGAGAAGAAAAATCTTTGAAATAGCTTGGGAGACGGAAGTATGAAGATATTAATATAAAGAAGTGAACGATATAAGGGCTGGGAGGTGGCTCAGAGGTTAACAGCTCTGACTGCTCTTCCAGAGGTGCTGAGTTCAGTTCCCAGCAACCACATGGTGGCTCACAACCATCTGTAATGAGAGCTGGTGCTCTTCTGACATACAGGCATACATTCAGACAGAACACTGTATACACAATAAATAAATACATCTTTAAAAAAATGATATAGCACATTAGCAAGAAGTGCTACAGAAAACAAAGATTGAGTGAGAGGTTATAAAGTTTGAAAACTAATTCTAACTGTAAACATGGTATCACTGAGTTGCTTATATAATTGAAGACAGGATCTTTTAAATTTTATAATTATTTTGTGTGTATGAGTGTTTTACCCACATGCATGTTTGTACACTACATCCATGCTTGATACCCCCAGAGACCAGAAGTAGGTGTTGGATCACAGGCACTGGAGTTACAGATTACCAGTTCTCTCAAACGATGACCCACCTCTACAGAGCTGAAGACAAAGTCTGTATATACTTATGTAAACTGTGTGACACGTAATATGTCAGTCTTGGTGTGGCAGGTGCCTTTTCCCTCTGAGCCATCTCATCAGACAAGTAAATCCTAACACTGTGGGAAGACACAAGTTTATGTTTCTAACACAGTGGGATAGTTTAATGACCTTACCAGAACCCTACTTAGTATTGGGACTGGTGGAGCATGCCTGTAATCCTAGCACTTGAGGGTTGGAGAAACAGCTCAGCATTAAAGATTGGTTGCAGATGCCAGGCAGTGGTGGCACATATCTTTAATCCCAGCACTCAGGGGGCAGAGGCAGGTGGATCTCTGTGATTTCTAAGCCAGCCTGGTCTACAGAGCGAGTTCCACGACAGCCAGGGCTACACAGAGAAACCCTGTCTCAAAACCCAAAACAAAAAATTGTTGCTGTTCCTGCCAAGGATGCAAGTCTGGTTCTCAGCACCCATATCAGGTAGTAGCATGGTTTTTTGAACCACCAGCCCCCGAATCATGACACAGAGACTTATTAAGTATGAAAGCTTAGCCTTGGCTTAGGATTGTTTCTAATTAGCTCTTATAACTTAAATTAACCCATTTTTGTTAATCTACATGCAGTTCCATGGCTTGTGGCTTTTATCTCTCCTGCATGTCCTGCTCCCTCTGTGTCTAGCGGTGACTCCTTTTTTTCTTCACTGAGCCCTCTTCCAGGTTAACTATTGTTCATTCGGCTCTTTGTTAAAGCAATCACAGTGACACGCCTTCACTCAGTGTAAAGGACTATTCTGCAATATTAGGAAGTTCACAATTATTTGTAAATCCAGTTCTTGGGGGTCCTCCACCTTCTGGCCTCCGGAGCATCCACACCCATGCCCGTGCACGTGTACATACACATACACACAATTAGGAATAAAATAAATGTATGCGACTGGAGAGATGGCTCAGTGATTAAGAATACTGATTGTTCTTCCAGAGGATTGGCATTTGATTCCTGGCACCCACATGGCAGCTCACAACCATCTGAAGCTCCAGTTCTAGGGTGTCTGATGCCCTGTTCTGGGTTTCAAGGGCACCAGGCGTGCAAATGGTGCATAAACATACATGTAGGCAAAACGCCCATGCACATAAAAAATTAATAATAAATTTTGCTGGGTGGCACACACCTTTAATCCCAGGATTCGAGAGGCAGAGACAGATGGATTTCTGTGAGTTCAAGGCCAACCTGGTCTACAGAGTGAGTTCCAGGATTGGCTGCAAAGCTACGGAGAAACCCTGTCTTGAATAAAAAAAAAAAATCTTTTAAAAAAGAGATCATTGCTGGGCCGTGGTGGCGCACGCCTTTAATCCCAGCACTTGGGAGGCAGAGGTAGGCAGATTTCTGTGCGTTTGTGGCCACCCTGGTCTACAAGAGCTAGTTCCAGGACAGGATCCAAAGCCACAGAGAAAACCCTGTCTCTAAAAAACAAAAAAAAGAGAGGGGCTGGAGAGATGGCTCAGCGGTTAAGAATATTGCCTGCTCTTCCAAAGGTCCTGAGTTCAATTCCCGGCAACCACATGGTAGCTCACAACCATCTGTAATGAGGTCTGGTGCCCTCTTCTGGTCTGCAGACAGAATATTATATACATAATAAGTAAATAAATAAATATTAAAAAAAAAAGAAAGAAAAAGAGATCATGGAAATCCTCCAGGCTGCTGCTGGTGAGAACGGAGCAGTGCCTTGCATCTGTCCCTGTTGTGCTGAAAGTCTCTGAACCTCCGTGATTACAGGCTCAAATCACCCCCTGTGGCTTTCAGGTGGAACTTTTATGTTTGATTCATACGATGAATGACATAAATTAATCTATATGCTAGAAAGAACTTTTAAGGAAAACAGAAGAAACAAACCTATCTAAATAACAATGATTCCAAGTTTCTGAAGAACTTTTTCTAGAAAGATTGCAGGGAAAATGTCCTTTGGGAACGCCAGGAATTTGCATTGGAGGGAGCTCTACTTGTCCCTTGAATCCAACTCCCGAAATCTTTGCAGTCAAGATGGCTTTCAGGTTTTTTGTTTGTTTTTGTAATCTGACATTTGCAGTCTGAGCAGCGTTTAGAAGCAGGTGTGCTGATGCAAACTTTCAACAGCAGCACTTGTGAGACTGGAGGAGCCCAAAGGTTGAAGTCAGCTTGAGCTATGCAGAGACACTCTTCCCGTACCCCCAATTCATTCATTCTTTCAGTTTATGAGACAGGGTCTTACATCTCAAGATGCTCAAATGGGTCACAAACCATATAGCTATAGATGACAGATCTTAGTCCTCTTGCCACTTTAGCAGTGTTGTGTGTCCGCATGGGCTCCTAAGTGCCATTGTGGCCAAAGGAATCAGATCCTCCCCTGTAGCTGGACTTACAGGCAGTCGAGAGGCACTTAATGCTGAGAACCGAGTTTAAGTTCTCTTAACCACCCAGCCATCCCTCCGGCCCACGTTTTATTTATTTATTTATTTTTTTAATATTTATTTATTTGTTTATTATATATACAGTATTCTGTGTGCATGTATGCCTGCAGGCCAGAAGAGGGCACTAGACCCCATTACAGATGGTTGTGAGCCACCATGTGGTTGCTGGGAATTGAACTCAGGACCTTTGGAAGAGCAGGCAATGTTCTTAACCATTGAGCCATCTCTCCAGCCCCGGCCCACGTTTTATAATTAACACCGAGATAGCAGAAACATTTTTGTTTGTTTTGTTTCTGGAGACAGGGTTTCTCTGTTTAGCTTTGGACCCTATCGTAGAATTCGTTCTGTAGACAAGGTAGGTCTCCAACTCAAAGAGATCCTCCTGCCTCTGCCTCTCGAGTGCTGGGATTAAAGGCATGTGAGCTACCACAGCCTGCCCAAACAGATTTTCTGCAATGTATTTATTTATTTATTTTTGACAGAGGTCTCATTTTGTAATTTATGCTGGTCTCAAACTCAAGGCAATCCTCCTGCCTCAGCGTGCTGGGTGGGATTACATGCATGAATCACTACGCTCCACTTTCAAGGCAGACCCCTTGGGTTTACCCTCCAGCCCTAGGGCACCTCGACTCTGCCTCGTCCTGGTGAGAACCTGGGTTAGTCGGTAGCAACTCCTTCATCACCCCCTCCCAGAGCCCGGCAGAACACCGGAAGTCGCTCACCCCCAGACCGGAAATTGCTCACGCCCCGCTCCCGGCGCCCTAGTCTTGGCGGGGTGTGGAGCTGTCACAGCGTCTCGGGGCCCAGTGGCGGCGGCCCTGGGGAGGGGCGCGGTCGGTCCACGGCGGCCTTCCGCGGCCTTGGCAGCGGGGTTAGGCCGCTGCTCAAGGGGTCCGGCGCAGGCCACCAGGGCGGGCTAACGGGAACCGTGAGTCCCGCACTAAATTGGAGCCGACTCGGCACTGGAGGCATCGGCGGGAAATGGCGGACGAGGCCTTGTTTTTGCTTCTCCATAACGAGATGGTGTCCGGAGTGTACAAGTCCGCCGAGCAGGGGGAAGTGGTGAGTGCTGCCACGTACTCTGGGATCCTGCGGGACGCACCCCGGGATCTTGCGGGATGCACCCCGGGGCCCTGCGGGATGCTCCCTGGGATCCTGCGGGACGCACCCCGGGATCCTGCGGGACGCACCCCGGGATCCTGCGGGACTCTTCCGTTCTTCTCCCGTTTCGTGGCCGCAGGCGCCTATTAGGTTAGACCGAATTGGTCCACCTCGAGGCATCCCACAAGCATATAACCTGTGTCTCGGCTGTCTGCCCCAAGTTAGTCTCGCATCCCTTTCTGTTTTGTGTCTTCAGTTTGGGGTACAGTATGCTTTTTTAATTTTTTTTTTTATAATTGGCCCTATGAGGATTTGCTGGAGAGCAGCTGATTTTGGCATATCTGCTTAAATTTCCTGGCTCGCCCAGCACTTGGAGAGGCCCAGTACCGCCATCCCAGAGAGACTCTTTCATCTCTTGACTCAGAATACCACTCCACACAATTCCAGGGCCGAACCGTGATGAACCTTGGCGTTAAAGCATAGGAAACCTTGTAAGATTTTTAGCAGTAATTATGAAAACACAAATTAATTACCTAAAATATTTGGTGTTCATTATATCAGAGCTTGTTTTCGGAGTTTGGCTAATAGTTAATATTGAATGACACAGTGGCCCCATCCTTATGGAAGTTACATCGGATGTGGAAGTTCTTATTTCCTCATGATTCTTTTAGAAAGCATCGAGTGGGACTGGAATTTAATGATTAAAGTATTGGGTCGCAGTTAGGCATAAAATCACAGAATGTTATCGGATTTTAGAAAATGAGACAGTCTGAAGTTATGGTCAGGTCAACAGGCCTTTTTTCCTTTTTCTTTTTTAAAAAAACCCATTCCTGGTTTGGCTGGAACTCGATATGTTGATCAGGCTGGAGCGGAACTCGCAGAGATCCTCTTAACTCTGCGTCCCTAGTGCTGGTGTTAAAGGCATGTGCTGACACACCTGGCAGGAGCCCCTTCTTTAATGCTGCTGATAAAGAGGGTGAAGGCCAGGGAAGGAAAGCATCCTGGTTACAGTCACAGAGTTAGGAAAGAGTGAGGACTTTGTTTTGAGACAAGGTCTTACTGTATATCTCTGACTGGCCTGAAACTTGCTATTTGTAGACCCGGCTGGTTTCAAACTCACAGAGATATGCCTGCCTCTGTTTTCCAGATGTTTCTCAGTGGGGGACTTAAAGTTAGGGAATGGAGTGGTCCATTTGCTTGTTATGAAGATAGCTCAGTGTGTGGACTAGAGCAAGATCTTTGTAGTGAGGAGATGTATTATTGCAGGAGTCAGGGCAGGGGATGATTGAACTAAAACAGATAAGAGAGCAGAGAGGAGGCTTAAGAGGTAGGGAGGTGGACTCTTAGGTGGACTCTAAGCTTTGGTTAAATATGGGAATGGAGGTAAAATCCCGTGGAGATAAAGCATGTGGGTTGGAGAGATGCACGGTTAGTAAGGGGATGAAGAGAAGAGGTACGGAGACTATTGAGTTATATGCAGGTTTAATTTCTAGGACACTTAAGGAACGGTGCTGACAAATTGTAAACTATAAGAAAGGTGGGCATGGCATAAATAAAAATACCATTAAGAAGATGATTGAAACTGAGGGTTTTGGTTTTTTAGAGACAGGGTCTCACAGTGTAGCCCTGGTTGACCTGGAGCTTCAGTGTTACCAGGATGGCCCAAAACTCTACCTCCCAAGGGCTGGGATTAAAAGCGTGTGACACCACACCTGGCCTTCAAAATTTTTAAATTTATTTGTATGGATACTTAGCCTGCATGTATGCCTGTGCAGTCCATGCATGCCCAATGCCACAGAGCCAGAAGGGGGCTTCATAGTCCCTGGAACTCGAGGTACAGACAGTGGTGAGCTGTTGGAAGAACAGCTAGTGCTTGTTAGTGCCGAGCCACCACAGCAGCCTCCTCAGATTCTACTTCTTCTTTCTTGCTATTTATTTATTTATTGTTTTTTTTGAGACAGGGTTTCTCTGTAACAGCTCTAACTGTCCAGGAACTCACTCTGTTCACCAGACTGACCTTGAACTCACAGATGTCCACCTGCCTCTGCCTCCTCAGTGCTGCCTCCGAGTGGCAAGTACCACCACTGCCGAGCTCAGATCCTGTTTCTAATTATACCTATCTATAACAGATGCCCTCCACCTTTACACATTTGTTATTTGCCCTAAACTTACATTTAGGCTTTTCTCACCCCCAAACAATTAATAATACATTCATTCCTTTATTTTTATCACGAAATCCACTCCTTTTCCTCCCTCCCTCCCTCTCTCCCTTTTTTTCTTTTGACACAGGGTTTCTCTGTATAACAGCTCTGACTGTCCTGGAACTTCACTCTGTAGACCAGGCTTGCCTTGAACTCACAGACATTCGCTTGCCTCTGCCTCCAGAGTGCTGGGATTAAAGATGTGCCCCACCACTGCCTTTTTCATCTTACTACTTTTTCTTCACTTTTTCAGTGGGTTAGCCCAAAATAATGCAAACATAGTTGTTCTGCTCACAACAGATCCTTATAAATAAACAAAAACCCCAAAAGTTTTTAATTGTTTACCTGTTTCAGTGTATTTGTAGTTGGGAGGGGAAAATCGACAGGGAGCAACAATGATGACAACGATGATAATTGAGTGTTTCAGTATTCAATTCTGACTGGCTTGGACTCACTGTGTGGACCATCCTTGCCTCGAACTCCCAGAGCTCTCTTGCCTGGGAGTGCTGGAATTAGAGGTGTGTGCCACCATGCTGCCTGATTTTTATTTTTTAAGTTACTTTCTGAGGAGACTTTCCCACTCCAGTGGCCTCTGTGACTTACGCTATGGTGAACAGTGGCCCATTAATTTCATTTTCAAACACTTGCAAAATAGGTCTCAGATTCAGGCGTGGCTGTCTGAGCAAGCAAGCATGCGGATGGATCAGATAGCGCTGTTACCGCCTTTGATGAGTACATGGACCTCCATTAGATGGTGCAGAAAACATTCTCAAAGTTGAGAAAGCAACAGAGTCGGATCATGCTACAAAATGTTTCCAGCTAGAGATGGCCGAGGAATCCAGAGGTTGAGAAGGTGACAGTGGTTGTGAGCACAGTCTGAGACACATGCAAACTGTTTTGGTGGCCCGTATGTTATTATCAGGTGACAAACTGTTTTGGTGGCCCGTATGTTATTATCAGGTGACAAACTGTTTTGGTGGCCCGTATGTTATTATCAGGTGACAGTGATGCTGTGAGATTGTTGTTTTTTTTTTTTTTAATTTATTTATTCCTTATGTATACAGTGTTCTGTCTGCATGTGTGCCTGCAGGCCAGAAGAGGGCACCAGATCTTACTACAGTTACTACAGCTGACTGTGAGCCACCATGTGGTTGCTGGGAAATGAACTCAGGACCTCTGGAAGAGCAGGCAGTGCTCTTAACCGCTGAGCCATCTTTCCAGCCCCCCTGTGAGATTGTCTTTGTTACAAAAGTATATTTTTAAACAAAATATAAATCTTTTTAACATTCTTATTTTTATTTTATTTTGTATGTAAGGGTGTTGTCTGCATACTAATTTTGCTCCTGGTAGCTGTGACACCGTATGCCTGTGAGAGGAGAACTCGGTACAGTCAACTCTTTACTTCTTTCCGTGGGTTCCAGGAATCAGCTTAGGTCTCCACTCTTGCTAGCAAGCACCTTTACCTACTGAGCCATTTCAATGACTTCTTTTTCCATTTTTTAATTTAAAAACTTTTAAAATGTGTTTGGATATTTTGCTTGTACACACACACACACACACACACACATTGTATCTATGCAGTACCTAAGGTGGTCAGATGAGAGCATCAGATCTCCTAGAGCTGCAGTTACAGACAGTTGTGAGCTGCCGTATGGGTGCTGGGAATTGAACCCAGGTCCTCTGGAAGAGCTCCTAATGGCTAAGTCTTCTCTCTTAGCCCCCTGCTGTTGTTTTAGGTTTAGGGGTAGTTCTAGCTCTTAAGAGAAAAATATCGTGATGTGTCAAGTGAGCCTTCATGGGTGTAGCTTCTGACATTTCTAGAAGACAGTCTCACAGCAAACTTCCTTGGCAACGTTCCCTGAGCCACAGGTGCAGGAGTTGTGTGTAGTAATTGGAGCGGCGGCGCTGCGTCCCCAGCACCCCGGTCGCCTGCTAGCTTATGCCCCGAAATAACAACACACAAATTGTTTCATTTAAACACTGCTTGGCCCTTTAGCTCTAGCCCTTACTGGCTAATTCTGATATCCCGATCAACCCATCTCTAATAATCTGTGAGCACCGGTCTTACCGGGAAGATTCTAGCCTACATCCATCCTGGGTCGGAGCTTCATTGCGTGTGTCTGCGGGAGCGGGGCATGGCGTCTCTTCTGAGGTGTCTGCTCCGGAGAGGAGAGCTGTTGAGTCTGAGCTCACTTCCTCTTCCTCCCAGCATTCTGTTCTGTTTACTCCACCCACCTATGTTCTAACCTATGAGGGCCAGCCAAGCAGTTTCTTTATTTTTTTAACCAATGAAATCAACAGATTGATATATGACACTCCCACATCACTTCCCCTTTTTCTGTTTAAACAAAAAAAGGCTTTAACTTTAACATAGCAAAATTACATATAACAAAACAGTTATCAAGTAAAAGTTACAATATTTACATCTATTTTATCTTTTTTCATAACTAAGGAAAACTATAACTATTTATTTATTTATTTATTATGTATACCATATTCTGTCTGTGTGTATTCCTACAGGCCAGAAGAGGGCACCAGACCTCATTATAGATGGTTGTAAGCCACCATGTGGCTGCTGGGAATTGAACTCAGAACCTTTGGAAGAGCAGGCAATGCTCTTAACCGCTGAGCCATCTCTCCAGTCCCTTGAATTTATTTTTGTGCAGAGCTAGAGATCTATTTTCATTTTTTTTTACCTTGAACAATCCAGTTTTTTCAGGGATTTCACCCCACCCCCCGCACACACCCCAGATGTTAGGGATTGTACCAGGGTCTTATGGGAAAGTGTTTTGTCATTTAGCTGCATCCCCAGCTTTGTTCACTAATGTATGTTTTTGCTATTTTTATGAAGAATCAGCTGTGGCTGTGTGAGTTTGTTTCTGGGATTGGTCTCTGTACTTGTGCCAATATCATGCTGTATTGTACTCAATACAGTAGAACTGGAGTGTAATAGAAAATCAGATATTGTGATGTCTCTAGCATTACTCTTTCCACTCAGGATTGCTTTGGTTTATGTGAATCTGATACAGTGTTTAGGTTTCATTTGTCTGGTTCTGTGAGGATGTTACTAGAATTTTGATAGGGGTTGGGTGCCGACTTCCACAGTATATGTTCTAATCCATGAACATGAGAGGTATTTCATCTACTGCCTTCTTTTTTTCTTCGTTTCATCAGCTTTATTTTTTTAATTAATTTTTTTGAGAATTTGGTGCATTAGTACTGTTTTTGCACCATTTCCACTTGTTTTTTCTCTTCCAACTTATCCCATGTCCCACTTTCAAACATGACCTATTCTTAGTTATTATTCACACACACACACACACACACACCCTACTAAGTTCTTTTAGTGTTGTTTAGGGCTGTAGTATTGTATGTATTGTTCAGGGCTGACTACTTGGGACTGGACAACCTGTAAGGGACTCCTCCCTCAAGAAGACTGATTCTCCCTAGTTCTGCAGTCCCTAATTGCTCATAGCTCCTCATTTAGGGGCGGGGCCTGTGAGGTCTCCCGTCTGTTGACATGTCAGCTGGTATTGTTACTGTGTAGGTCTTGTTTAGGTGACTGTTATTGAGAGTTTACCAGTGCAGCTTCCCTGTCATATACAGGAGGCACGACAAAGTCTCTTTGTCACTCTGGTCCTCTGGTTCTTGCAGTGCCCTCCCCATATTCCCTGAGTTTTTTTTTAAATATTTATTTATTTATTATGTATACAATATTCTGTTGTGTGTCTGCCTGCAGGCCAGAAGAGAGCATCAGATCTTATTTCAGATGGTTGTGAGCCACCATGTGGTTGCTGGGAATTGAACTCAGGACCTTTGGAAGAGCAGGCAATGCTCTCAACCACTGAGCCATCTCTCCAGCCCCTCCCTGAGCCTTATGTATAGGGCTTGCATTGTGAATGTGTCAGTTGGCATTGGGCAGGTCACAGTCAGTTGTCTTCTCTGTCTTACGGTTGTGTTTCTGTAATGGTCTCCGTCTGCTGCAGAAGAAACACGTGTAGGTATAAAGTAAGTATCAAGAGTGCAGTTAGAAATTGTACTGGCAAAAAAAAAAAAAAAAAAAGAAATTGTACTGGCTTAGGAAAAGGGCAGTGGAGGTTCTCCTCTGGAGTTCATGACTTCACAGGCTAGGATCATCGTTTCAGGCATGAGTTCCTTCCTCTTGAACAGGGCTTATGTCCAATTAGGTGGTTGCTGGTTACCCCCAAGACATAAGTGCCACTGTTGTACCCTCTGGGACATTCTGCTATGCTGGTATTTGCTGTGGTTTTTAGGCATCCCAGCTGGGTAGGACTGTTGATTGCTTTCTCCCTTGGCAGTTTACATATCATATTTGGATACTGTGGTAGCTAGCCTTCAGGGAGTATACTTCTAATTCGTTCCAGCCCAATTCATCCAAACTCTGTGCATGAAGTATGTTGTGTCTTCATCAGGTCCTGGGAGGCAGCCAAGGACAAGGGATTGTTTTGGAAAGTCTCCTGGACTCCTCTTAGCAGCAGCTCTCAGAGCGGTGTCCCACACCTGGCACTGAGGTTTTCCTTAGCCTGTGGCTCTGGGGTGAGCTTTATCTCCTAAAATGGTGTAACTTCATTCAAGTGTGTCAGTGTGTGTGTGTCTGTGTGCGTGTGTGTGCCATACTCACAACTCACACAAATTGAGTTGGAGCCAACTCTTTGTCCTCTGACTCCCACGTGTGCATGTGAGTATGGCGTGCACATGCTACACACACTACATGTAAGTCAAATTTAGGGCTGTTGAGTTGCTGACTTACAAAGGTGCCTGCCGCCAAGCCTGAGGAACTGAGTTGAATTCATATGGGGAAAGAGAACTAATGTCTATAAACTGTCCTCTTACTTCTGCTTGTGTGCCGTGATGGCCCCCTCAAAGTACTTATAGCAAGGACTGGTTAAGAGCACTAGTTGTTCTTCCAGAGGACTCTGGTTCAATTCGAGCACCCACATGGCAGCTCACAACTGTCTGTAACTCCAAGATCTGACACCCTCAAAACACCAATGTACATAAAGATAAAATAAATATAAAAATAGAAAAAAATGCTTAAAACATTTAAATAGAAAGTTGTTAAAGTTTTTATTGTGAGCCTTTTCTACCTTTAAAGTAATTGTGAATTGCCCCTCCCCCGATTTCTTTCTTTGTAAGTGGTATATAGAAAAGGTACTGATTGGGAGGGAGAGATGGCTCTGGGTTTAAGAGCACTTTGTGCTCTTCCAGAGGTCCTGAGTTCAATTCCCAGCAACCACATGGTGGCTTACAACCATCTGCAATAAGATCTGATGTCCTCTTCTCTGTAGGCATACTTGCAGGCAGAACACTCTGTACATAATACATAAATCTTTAAAAAAAAGATATTGATTAAAAAAATTTAGTTTGTGTGTATGTCCATGTCCCCGAGTGTGCCATGTGCATGTCATAGTGCACAGGGCACACGTGGAGGTCAGAGAACTCCTAGAGTTCTTTCTCTCCTTTAGTCATCAGGGTTGGTGGTGGTAAATACCTTTACCTGTTAAGCCATCTTCCTGGCCTCTGATTTCTAGTTCATTGTTTTAAAATACAAATGTCTTAGAACTCTAAGAGTATTCAATTTTTTTTTTGATAGGAAAATGGACGATGTATTACTAAGCTGGAAAACATGGGGTTTCGAGTGGGACAAGGATTGATAGAAAGGTGAGCAGTATGGATTTGAAAATTTTCTTCCAGGTAGGTTATAAACACCGATCAATTTAAGATCATTACAGAAGCTTGAGATGTTTTGTTTTTAATTCTTTTCTGTTTGTGGATGATAAGTTGAACATGCTCCTAAGAGGCTGCTGGTATTTTAGTGAGTGTGAGGCCCTGGGTTCCATCACTGGAAAAACAATTCTCTTTAGATCTGATGCTACTTTAAGTCTGTTATTCAGGCATTTGTTTTTTTGTTTATGAACATGGCCCTGTTATGTGACCCAGATTGTCTTCAGACTTATTATTCCTGCTGTCGCTGGGATTATAACCATTCTCTACTGTGCCCAGTTTTCCTTGTTTTCATAATTGAGAAAGACCTATTTTACATAGGTGATTTTTTTTCCCCATGAAAGGACTAATATATTGAAATTCCTATGTACAGTCTCATTGCATATTCTGCTTAGGGCTTTTTGGTTTTTAAAAACCGGAATGGAATTTTGTTTAACTGAATAGGCATAGAAATGCCTTGAAGTCTATGTTCATATCTTTGCTTTTTTGTATTCCTTTCTGAATATCTAAATAGTTTAATTTAGATAGATTATATTTTACATAAAACACTCCAGTTATGCTTACTTTTTGGGCAGGGGGTTTCGAGACAGTGTTTCTGTGTGTTAACCTTGGTTGTCCTGTAACTTGCTCTGTAAACCAGGCTGGCCTCAGACTCACAGAGATCTGCCTGCATCTGCCTCCTGTGTGCTGGGATTAAAGGCGTGCGCCACCACTGCCTGACTTTCTGTCTTTTCTTTCCTTGTTTTTCTTGTTGAGATAGAGTTTCATACTGTATCCCAGTGTTCCACCCTGCCCTGGAACTCGTATAGTCCAGGTTGGGACGCAGACCTGTGGAGACCTTACTTCAGCCTCTAGAGTGCTTGGATTATAGCACAAACCACCATGCTCACTTGCGTCATTTTTGTTTTTTTCATGTGCTAATTTGGATTATGACTGAAAGTATGACTGACTAATAAATAGACTCCTGAGCCCCGTGATTACATAACAGAGATGAGATGGGCTTTGCTTGGTTTATCCCTGTGTGACTGTCAGTAAATGTCTAGTGCTGGTGGCATTTAGAAATTAGTAAATAATTTGCTTCTTCTTAGAAAAAACTTCCTCCTTTGTTTCCTTTGGAAGAAATATATTGTATTACTTCAAGTTGATCTTTTTAGGTTTACGAAAGATACTGCAAGGTTCAAGGATGAATTAGACATCATGAAGTTCATATGTAAAGATTTTTGGACTACAGTATTCAAGAAACAAATTGATAATCTAAGGACAAATCATCAGGTATTTAGATAAATCTGTTCTTTGTTGAGTTGAAGACCTATTTTCTGAAAGTCACTTACTGTGAATGTCCTTTTTATCAAGTATTTACTATCCTATGCTTGTGTATGATGTGTGTGGTAATGTAGCTGCTTGCGTGGCTCATACTTCTCCTACTGAGGTTTCCAGGATCCAGAAGAGATTGTGAGGCTTGTGCACAAGTGCTTTTACATGCTGAGCTATTTTTGTTGGCCCTTAATTTACTTATTTAAATTAAATTCTTTGAGAATTTTTTATGTATATGAGAGCACCAGGTGCATACAGTGGCCATAAGAGGCTGCCGGATTTTTTGCAGCTGGAGTTACAGAAGTCTGTGAGCGTCAGTGTTCCTGCTGGCCCTGAACCTGGGTCCTATGCAAATGTAGTAGGTGATCCTAATAGCTGAGCCGTCTGTCTCTCCACTCACCTAGGACTCTTTCGTTCGGGGGGGGGGGGATAAACTTCATGTTTTTCTAATAATATTGTTAAGTCTTTTTCTCTAGTAGGGTAAAGGAAATAAGGAAGAGCGTAGTTATCATTAACTATAACTGTTTCCTTCCTCTAATTACATAAGCTGTGTTAAAATTTAAACTGTAGCATCAAGAGGCAGAGGCAAATGGATCTCTTGAGTTCGTGGCCAGCATGGTCCACAGAATGAGTTCCAGGTGACATAGAGAAACCCTGTCTTGAACCACCCCCCCCCCAATAAAAAGTAGCAAATGAGGGCTGGAAAGATGACTCAGTGGTAACCACTAAGTTACCACTAAGTTAGAAGAGCATTCATTGCTCTTCTAGAGGACATGAGTCTAGTTCCCAGAGCCCATGACAGATGTCTCACAAGCTCTCAATATTTTAGTTCCAGGAGGATTCAGTGTGTTGTGTCTGGCTTCTTTGGGAATCCACATGCATGTACACACACATAACTATAAACATATAATTAAAAATAAAAGCCCAGCTGGGCATGGTGGTATGTGCAACAAAACAAAAAGTAGCCTCTATCTGTGGGCAAAGGGACACCTCATTTTTGGTATTTTTATACCTGGGGCTTTCTACATTCAGGTTGGCAGGAACGTCATTCATGGCGGTGATTCAGTGAGAAAGAGATCAGTCTGGGTTAAACCTGAATAACTCACTGACCACAAGTTTGTTCCCTGACTGGGTCTGTGAATAGAGGTGGACAAAACAAGGTCCTTTTTAGCGTTAGTGAAGGGTCCCTGGACACAGCTCTTCATTCCACTGACTAGAAATGATAAAATGGATCTTCTTTTCCAAAACATATTTTTCAATAAAACTGTTAGAACTGGGAAAAACAAAATTTGTAGAATGTAGCACAACAGAGCAATTGGTGTAGGATTGTTCATTTTTATTCAGAAATATGATAGTATTCAGAACTATATAGTATTTATATCTTTAGAATAATTTCTGATTTTTTTTTTTTGGCTTTGGAGCCTGTCCTGGAACTAGCTTTTGTAGCCCAGGCTGGCCTCAAATTCACAGAGATCTGCCTGCCTCTGCCTCCCAGTGCTGGTATTAAAGGTGTGCACCACCACCACCCTGCTAGAATAATTTCTAAAGTCTCATTTGTAGACCATATTTAACTCTTAAATAGCCTGCTTTGGTTTGACTAGAGAGATGGCTCAGTTAAGAGCTTGTGCTGTTCTAACAGAGGACCCGAGTTCAGTTCCTAGAATCACTGTCAGGCACTCATAGCTGCCTGTAGTTCCAGCTCCGGAAGATCTATCTGATGTCTTTTCTTACCTCAGTGAGCAGCTACACTGATGTACACATTTTCACAAACAGATTTTTTTTTTATTTTTTTTTTGCTTTTTCGAGACAGGGTTTCTCTGTGGTTTTGGAGCCTGTCCTGGAACTAGCTCTTGTAGACCAGGCTGGTCTCGAACTCACAGAGATCCGCCTGCCTCTGCCTCCTGAGTGCTGGGATTAAAGGCGTGTGCCACCACCGCCCGGCTTTTTTTAAATTTTTCAAGGCAGGGTTCTCTGTGTAACAGTCTTGGCTGTCCTGGAACTCCCTTTGTAGACTAATCTGACCCTGTACTCATAGAGATCCGCCTGGTTCTGCCTCCCAAGTGCTGGGATTAATGGTATGTGCCAAGATCGACTACTCACACAGGCAATTTTAAGAAGTGAATCTTATAAAAGAACTTGTTTGGGTGTGCAGTGGTTGGTTTGTATCTTTATTTATTTATTCATTGGTCCATTCACCTGTCTGTCTATCTGTCTGTCTGTCTGTCTGTCTGTCTATCTATCTATAGCTGTATGTGTCTATTTATCTACCTGTCTTATCTATTTTATCTATTTATTTATTCACTCTATGGTCAGGCTGCTGACTTTGTGATGGAGTCATAGCTATGGGAAACTACACCCGCCTAGGGTAAGGTAATTTTTAAGGATTGAACACTAGATTGACTTCTGATTTTGCTTTTTGGTTGTTAAACAGGGCATATATGTGCTTCAGGACAACAAATTTCGACTGCTTACTCAGCTCTCTGCGGGAAAACAGTATTTAGAACATGCATCAAAGGTATTAATAAAATTTGATTTTGTAATAAAACAAATAAATTTAGAATAACAGGAAAAATTACAAAGCCAATCACAACTGATTGAAATTAAACAGTAATTTCAGCAGCTCATTGAGGAGCCCATGCTCATGTTCTTAAGTAATCCTTTTTTTCTTAAAGTAGATCTTTTTTTTTCTTTCTAGACTTTTTATTTACTTATTTTGCATGTATGAGTGTTTTGCCTGCTTTTATATTGTGCACCATTTCGGTGCCTGATGTCTGAGGAGATGGTGAGCTTCCATGTGGGTGCAGGGGATTGAATTCCTGTCCTTTGCAAGAATAACAAGTGGTCTTAACCATTGAGCCAACTCTCCAGCCCCCTATTTTTTTTTTTTTTTTTTTTTTTTTTGGTTTTTCGAGACAGGGTTTCTCTGTGGCTTTGGAGCCTGTCCTGGAACTAGCTCTGTAGACCAGGCTGGTCTCGAACTCACAGAGATCCGCCTACCTCTGCCTCCCGAGTGCTGGGATTAAAGGCGTGCGCCACCATCGCCCGGCCCCCTATTTTTTCTTAAGCTGAACGTTAAGAATGTCTTTTAGTAAACTGTTTGTCAGTGGCAGCAGCGGCAGCTCATGCCTTTCTCCTATCACTTGGAAGGCAGTGGTAGGCAGTTTGGGGCCAGCTGATATTAAAGGCCTATGTCACTGTGCCTGACAGAATAACAAATTTTAATGTGAGCGTTCCTGTGTGATAATTAAAGTGTCTAAGCAAGTATAATTTGCTACTTATCTGTAAATATTTGTTCATTCTTCCATTTTCTTTTTTTTTTTTAAAGATTTATTTATTTATTATGTATACAACATTCTGCCTCCATGTACGCCTGCATACCAGAGGAGGGCGCAAGATCTCATTACAGATGGTTGTGAGCCACCATGTGGTTGCTGGGAATTGAACTCAGGACCTTTGGAAGAGCAGCCAGTGCTCTTAACCACTGAACCATCTCTCCAGCCCCCATTCTTCAATTTTCTATTAAGTTTTACAAATTACCATACAAAGATAAATCATACAAAGATTTCATGATTTTTCTTTCATGTATGCTTTTTTCTTATAGGTCCTCCTTGCCTACCGCCCTCCCCTTGTCTGCCTTCTTTATGCTGACCTTCTAAGTCTTCTCCTAATATCCTCCTTCTGCCTTCATGTCACAAGGATTATAGTGCCCTCTTTTTTGTTTATAAAATTTTCCCTCCTATATCTGAAATAGATTGCAAATATAGTGTAGTTATGATGTAGAAATCACAGAGCTAGAACCATATGAAGTTAGGCTTCAAGCATTTTTATGGTTAATATACATACATACACACACACATACACATCATTGCTCTTTTTATTCACATTTTACTATTTTTAGTTTCCACTTAACTTTGGGGCACCTTACTTTCTTCAGGTGTGAAGAATAAGTTAAAGATTTTTCTTGCTGGGGTACTGAATTGATGTCTGCTGAGTTAAGAGCTCCTATTACAAAGCCCAGGCTAGTCTCCAACTTGTAGTGATCCACCTGCCTGAGCCTCCTGAGTTCTAGGATCACAGACAAGCTTCATAGCTACGCTTTAAGTCTTAAACAAGATGAGATGTTTGGTTGTAGGAAGCTGGATGCGACAGCACATGCTTGTAATCCCAGTATTTGGGAGGCGGAAGCTGGAGTAGGAAGTTTGAGGCCTGACTGACTACTTGAGACCCGGTCTCAAAGAGGAAAAAGGAAAAAGAAGCACAGAGATCTTTGCTTAGTCAGCAGTATTGATAGGAAGGCCGAGAAGATAGAAATTAAGGAGGCTAAAGTGGCTAGCTGCGCTAAGCGTCTAGTTAGATCCCTGTGCACAGCATGGAGAACACTCACAGGCCAACGCTGTTGTTTCTTGACCTAAACTTAACCTGTTGCTGTTCTGTGGTTACACTAGATTCAAAGCCTTGTTCTGCAGCCCCAGGTTGGTTAAGCTTAGTCATTTGCCCATGTGCTTTAGTACAGTTAGCTTTACTCCAACTGCCTTTTTACAATGTCTATGCTGTTTCTTTCTAGTTAGAGGTTGTGTGGTCTTGAACTCAGAGATCAGCCTGCTTCTGGATTAAAGCCAGCTTCACAGCTTCATTCTCTTCATTCTTCATTACCTCTGCCTTTTCCTCTTGCTCTCACTTCCTTGTCCTCCCCTTCTCTCATTCTCCTGTTTAAATACAGCAATGATGTATTGACACCGCAGCTTAAATCAATTCCCTGTTTACCGATACCTTATTGTTTTAGTAAATCCTTAATATTTTTTGTATGTTTTCGTTTTTTTAGTATCTAGCATTTACATGTGGCTTAATCAGAGGTGGCTTGTCAAACTTGGGAATAAAAAGTATTGTAACAGCTGAAGTATCTTCAATGCCTGCCTGTAAGTTTGTTTATCTTACATATGTTTTACATCATTTTTTTTCCAGGTCTGTTTCTTTTAAATGTAGAAGAAACTAGAAATTCTGAAACTTTCATTTTAGTATCATTTATTTCACATTTATTTTGGTAATATGTAATATCTTTTCACTCAAGGACTAACCAAAAACAAAATTTAATTGAGTTTCAATATATTTCTTTTCTTTTCCTTTTTATTTCTTTTTCCTTCCCCCCCCCCCCCCCCAGGACAGGGTTTCTCTGTGTAACTTTGGGACCTATCCTGGAACTCTGTCTGTGTACCAGGCTTCCTCGAACTCACAGATATCCTCCTGTCTCTGTCTCCCAAGTGTTGGTATTAAAGGCGTGTGAAGCCACTGCCCAACTGGATTTCTTTTTTATTAACTGACAAATTAGTAATGAAATACTCAGAATTGCTAGGCATGGTGACTCACGCCTTTAACCCTAGCACTGAGGAAGCAGAGGCAGGCAGTATCTGTGAGTTCGAAGCTTGTCTAGTCTACATGTGAACTCGAAGCCAGGGCTACATAATGAGACCTCCTTGTCTCAGAAAACACACACACACACACACACACACACACGGGGTCGGGGAGGGGACACCCAGGATGTAGGAAGGACAGACAACTGTCCAATGGGATAGACTTTATTGGCTACCTTAAGGAGTACGAAAAGACCTTTGACACAGCAAGTTCTTTGAGTGAAACTACTTCCTGAATGGAAATGAATATGCCTGTTTTCTGTTCTGTTCTTCAGGCAAATTCCAGGTGATGATACAGAAGCTGTAGAGTGAAGTGAAACACGAGCGAGGCTGCTCCTGTGCAAAGTATTGCCAGTGCTGCTCTCTGCTCACTGTTGGCGGTCTGTGCTGGAGCAGAGGGCTTACCTCACCAATAAGGTCCTTTCACCATGACGTAAACTAGCTGAACTGTTTGACTAATGTCAGTGAACTCGACGCCAAGATGTACAGCTCTTTATTTTAAACATCTTTATTTCGTAGTGTTATATGTATTTAACCATAGATTGAGAAGTGAAACTCAGGGTGTGTTGAATTGCTGTATAGGAAAATATGTACCAATCAGAATAGTTTCTATTCAAATGACCAAAATTTGTTAAAGTATAAATGTGTTTTAGTTATTTAAAAAAAGAAACCACTATGCTAAATTAAGCTTAATTTTTATTGTATGTTTATAATTTATTTCTGTCGAGAATTTGTATGCCTATATAAGGATTTCATTTATACATTGTATGTTTATATGTATATATAAATACATATGTTACTGTCTAAATTGTTTGAAGACTTAATTTTACTTTAATAGATTTCAGTCTTTGAGCCCGCCACCGATTAATCGAAGTGAAATGTAGATTAGCTTGGTAACTGTAGCACTAGAGAATATTAGGTATGTTGGAAGTAATTTTTATACTTACTCCTGCTCACATTATTCCTTTAAAAATATTTCATTTTAGTTTTTATGTGTGTGTATCAATTTTCCTATCTGTTCTGTTGGTGAAACTTAGGTTGATCCCATAACTTAGTGCTTGATATCAAGTTGACAAAAAAATCCAACCAGCTCATCTCTTCTACAAATGCTAGGAAAGTAATACCCATATGCAAAAGAGTGAAACCGGATCGTTAGACTAAAAATACACTCAGGAATCAACTTGTGTGGATCAATATAAAATACTTGAGACTCCAGTGATTATTCAAAAGTAGACTCACTGGTTGTGGTGGTGCATGCCGGTAGGATTTGCTAAAGGAGGCTGAGGCAGGAGGATCACAAGTTCAAGGCCAGTATGGACTACATTTTTTTTTTTTTTTTTGCCGGCAGTGGTGGCGCACGCCTTTAACTTCAGCACTTAGGAGGCAGAGGCAGGTGTATCTCTGAGTTCCAGACCAGCCTGGTCTACAAGAGCTAGTTCCAGGACAGGCTCCAAAGCCACAGAGAAACCCTGTCTCGAAAAACAAAAAACAAAAAAAAAAAAAGAAATTCCGTACTCTATACCATTGTGGATATAATAGATGGAACATCTTGGTATTCCCCCAGGTATGATACGATACAGCCCTTCTGTGTGCAGGTTCATGTAACATGGGCAATTGACTAGTCACTCTGGATGCTTCGCTGACATCCTGCTGGCATCGTCTATGGACGGTCTCGGGAAGTCCTTTGCAGTAACTCCCCTGCTGCTGGGATAAATGGTATTTATCCATAAGAACTGAAATGAAGGACCCTGGAGTGATCACAGCCAGGTTGACGACATTCTCACAATAGCCAAGAAGGGGAAATAATAAGTATGCAGGAATGGAGACAGAAGGAAAATATGGAGGTTGGGAAATAGTATTTTCAGGTGTGTGACTTTAGTTTATGCTGCATTTGTTTAACTCTGTGAAGCTGTGTTACTGTGCCTGTCTAAAACACTGATGGTCTAATAAAGAGAAGCATGGTGAATAGTGAGGCAGGAGCAAGGATAGGCCGGGCTGCCAGGCAGAGAGGATAAACAGAAGGAGAAATCTGGGAGGAGGGAGAACAAGCAGCAATGAGTGAAGGCCATCAGGGGCCAGCCACACAGCAAGCCCCGGAGTAAGAAGAAAAGTAAGATATACAGAAGTTAGGTAAAAGTCTAGAGGGAAGAGGTAGACGGGTTAATGTAGGTCAAGAACAGCTGGCAAGAAACAAGCCAAGCTAAGGCCAGGCATTCATAACGCAGAGTAAGATCCATGTGTTATTATTTGGGAATTGGGTGGTTGGTCCCTCAAAAAGTTAAAAGAATAAAACATCATACAACATATGGTATATACATACTAAATATTAACAGCCTTTAAGAAAATTTCTGGAACTATGGATATAGCAGAGTTGGTAGAGTATGTGTCTTGTATGCATGAAGCTGGGTGTCACCCCAGCACCACATACTGGACATGATGGGGCACAGCATTCCAGAGCTTGGTAGCTAAATGCAGGAGAATCAAGAGTTCAAAGCCATTCATCAGAACATTGTAGACACCAACTGTAGTCTTTGTGGGGTTTGAAACTAGCCCGTTTGTTCTATATGAGACTTTAAAAGAAAAAGTAAAGGAGGTTCTGCCATACTTCAACATGGATGAACTTTGCAAATATATGTTAAATGAAATAAGCCAGTCACTGTTTTCATTAAGATTCTAAATCCAGTCATACTGACAATGAAGATTGTCAAAATCTCCAATCCTTGTCCACTTGAAAACCTGACAATTACTTTAAATCATAAAATTCTTTTCATCCTATAATACAAAATATATTTAATTCATTTTTGCAAATGCCCATAATCCTTAGTATTCTCATAATTGTCCCATAGTCCAAAGTCAAGGCAACCTCATAAAACATGAGTTACATATTTGCAACATATAATGAATGGCAGAATAAATCTTCCTATTCCAAAAGGGAGGAATGGGGGCAAATCCAGAAAAGACAGACCTGAGCAAGACCAAAACCTAGCAGGGCAAACACCATATCCTCCACTTACACATTTCCCATCTGAGGAATCATGACCACTCCAAAGAACTTGGGTAGACTGCAACATGTTCTGACTTCTCTTGGGCCAGCAGTACTCCATGTCCACGGCTTTCCTTTGTTGATATCTTATGGTCTTGGAATCTCCAACATCTCTGGGTCTCCATGGCACCTTAAGCCTCACTTAGTTTCATGTACCAGGTGATGATTCTACCATACATTGCTTAGCCTCAGCCTGGAACCTTAAAAATAATTATTGGTACATCCCTGTAATCCTAACACTCAGAGGGTTGAGACATAAGATCATTAATCTGCCTGGGCAGAGTTATTAAAAATTTGCTTCAAAAACAACAAACTCGGGGGCTGGAGAGATGGCTCAGCGGTTAAGAGCATTGCCTGCTCTTCCAAAGGTCCTGAGTTCAATTCCCAGCAACCACATGGTGGCTCACAACCATCTGTAATGAGGTCTGGTGCCCTCTCCTGGTCTGCAGGAGCACACACAGACAGAATATTGTATACTTAATAAATATTTAAAAAAAAAAAAACAACAAACTCGGGCTGGAGAGATGGCTCAGAGGTTAAGGGCACTGACTGCTCCAGAGGTCCTGAGTTCAATTCCCAGCAACCACATGGTGGCTCACAACCATCTGTAATGAGATCTGGTGCCCTCTTCTGGCCTGCAGGCACACATGGAGGCTGAACACTGTATATAATAAATAAATAAATCTTAAAAAAAACCCCTAATATAATTCAGGTATGGAGGCACACGTCTGTAATTCCAGCACTCAGAAGGATCAGGAATTCAAGCTCATTCTCTTTACATAAGTTTTAGGCCAGCTTGTGATACGCACATGAGATACTATTTCAAAAGATTAAAAACAGAGCATAATAAAAATAGGTTTGGATGCTTGGTATGATGTTGCATGCCTATAATCCAAGCATTCAGGATGCTGAAGTTGGAAAAGGCTACAAATTTGAGTCCAATATTGGTAATATCTTGCTGGCTAGTTTTATGTCAACTTCACAAACTATACTTCTGAAAGGAAGGACCTGCATTTGGGAAAATGCCACCATTAAGAACGGGCTGTAAGCAGAGGGGCCCATAAGACATTTTCTTAATTAGTGACTATAGGTGGGGACATCCCTAGGCTGGTGATTCTAGGTTCTGTAAGAAAGCACTCTGAAGAGCTGGGCGGTGGTGGCACATGCCTTTAATCCCAGCACTTGAGAGGCAGAGGCAGGAGGATCTCTGAGTTCGAGGCCAGCCTGGTCTATAGATCTAGTTCTGGGGCTGTTACACAGAGAAACACTATCTCAAAAAACAAAACAAAACAAAACAAAACAAAAAAAGCACTCTGATCTAGGGAATACGCATTCCTCCATGGCCTCTGCATTAGCTCCTGCCTCTGTGTTCCCTCCCTGCTTGAGTTCCTACACTGATTTCCTTTGATGATGAACTGTGATATGGAAGCACAAGTCAAATAAATCCTTTCCTCTCTAAGTTGCTTGTGGTCATGGTGTCTCTAGCAATAGTAACCTTAATTAAGACAGAGATTGGTACCAGGAGTAGGGTATTGCTGTGACAGACCTCACATTTGGGAGAATTGTGAAAGAACTTTGGAACTCTCGGGATAGAAAAGCCACTGAGTGTTCAAAGCTTGGTGAACTGTTCTGTGGGAGCTTGGAAGGTAAGTATTTTATTGAGAGAAATGCAGACAATGGAGGGAGGCCTGGCTTATGAAGTTCCAGAGAAGTTTGAGAGTTACTCCAAGTCTTTCTGGGAAGTTGCACTTCGAGACCACTGCATATTTTAAATTAAGAATCTGTGGTTCTGGGGGCTGGAGAGATGGCTCAGTGGTTAAGAGCATCGCCTGCTCTTCCAAAGGTCCTGAGTTCAATTCCCAGCAACCACATGGTAGCTCACAACCATCTGTAATGAGGTCTGGTGCCCTCTTCTGGCCTGCAGGCATACATGCACACAGAATACTGTATATATAATAAACAAATAAATAAATATTAAAAAAAAAAGAATCTGTGGTTCTGGTTATCTGGGGCTAAAGACTGGTTATGATTACAAGATACCAGAACCACTAAAGTGAAACCTTTGCTTTGCTTCGATACTTGATGCTGGTCAGCTGGAGCTGAGAAGTTCGCAGTGATTAAGAAGAGGCCGGCATCACTGAAGTGAAATCTGGGAAGTGTTTGATAAATCAGCACATGAAAGCCGTGTTCCAGAGGTCAAGATTGTACTTCATTCATAGCTGGGTGTTGGGGCGCACACCTTTAATACCAGCATTCAAGAGGCAGAGGCAGGTGAATCTCTGTGAATTTGAAGCCAACCTGGTCTACAAAGTGAGTTCTGGGACAGCCAAGGAGCCAAGGATGTTACAGAGAAACTGTCTCAAAAAACCAGATCCCAGCATTTTGGAGATGCCAGTACCATGGGACAGCCGTCAAGAACTGCAGCAGCAGTAGAATGGAGCTGGCCTGAGCTTAGGAGACAAGACAGTCTGTGTGGGCTACAGTGGGTGGAGCCCAAGAAGTGACCCAGGCCTTTTGGAGGAGCCCAGAAGTTTGTGAGTGGATCCTAGGCATCGGACACTGAGTTACTCACACAGTTGGCATTTGGATTCATATTGTGACTATGCCCTGGTTCTTCCCTTGAATTGCCTTTTTGATTTTATAGAGTCCACAGTTGTCGACTTTGGTTTTTTTTTTTTTTGAATTATTTTTTTAAAGAGACTAAACTTTTTAAGTGAATTTTTAAGAAGACTGTGGGACTTTAAAATTTGTAAAGTACTTTATATTAGTAGTTCTCAATCTGTGGGTTATGATCCCTTCGATGTCACATCAGAGATCTTGTAATCATATATCTACATTACTATTTACTGTGTGATCTTGGGGATGAACAAGAAAGGGAAAAGGGAAGGTTGTGGCTAATAATGATATTTGTGTGTCAAGGTGACAAGAGGTTAGTTGTACTAAGGGAACACAGGGAAATCCTATCTTCAAAAGCCCAAATATCTGTCTCTCTGTCTCTCTCTCTCTCACACACACACACAGTAAAAGTATAATAAGAAATTGTCAGGCTGCAGAGATGGCCCAGAGGTTAAGAACACTAGCTGCTCTCCCAGAGGTCCTGAGTTCAAGTCCCAGCAACCACATGATCGATCGCTCACAGCCATCTATAATGAGATCTGGTGCCCTCTTCTGGCATGCAGGCAAATATGGAGGTAGAACACTGTATATATAATAAATAAATCTTAAAAAAAGAACAAAAAAACACGCCCCCCATATTGTTACAAAATACTGCACTATATATAGAAGTATACATACAAACAGTTAACATCAATGCTCCAGGCATAAAAGTTACAAATAAATTGTGGAGTTGTTCTCCACGGCTTTTGACACCCAGCCTTTACTTTTTATTTTTTTTTTGATTTTCGAGACAGGGTTTCTTTGTAGCTTTGAAACCTGTCCCGGAACTAACTCTTGTAGACCAGGCTGGCCTCGAACTCACAGAGATCCGCCTGCCTCTGCCTCCCGAGTGCTGGGATTAAAGGCATGTGCCACCATCGCCCGGCCAGCCTTTACATTTTGTGTGTCTTGGTGCTGAAGTAGGAGCCGAGAGGAATGGGCAGGCAGCAGGAAGAGACACTGGAACTCTTGAAACTCAGTGACACACTTCCTTCAACAGAGTCACACCTCCTAATGCCACACCCTAAGCATTCAACTATACGAGCCTATGGGGACCATCTTCTTCAGACCAACACAGTGGATATTAATTACCTCCACAATAACTGTACTTCTGTTATGAGAAGTCAGGAGCTGGATGAAGGGTGCGGACAGTTCTAGAGTCCTGAAAATACCCGTGGGGTTACTGTGCAAAGATCTTATGGTTCAAAATGTTTACTTCTATTTGTCTCCAGCACCCAAAATATCCCTACACCAAATTATATAAATGGTTTCTCACTTTTGTTCACAATCCTCACGCCAAATCAGGTATGGTGGCTCACAACTGTTATAGTATTTGGGAAACTGAGGCATAGATTCACACAAACTTGAGACCATGTTGGACTACAGAGTAACTTCCAGGTCAGGCTAAACTATGGAGTAACATCCTGTCTTAGCAGTAACAATCCTTTAGCTTGCTAGTGGAGTAATTAAGGTAATAGTTTATTATCTCTTAAGCCACTGCATAAGCAAAACTGCTTTGTAAATGTTACCTACTCAGGAATTTTACTGTAAGTAGTATATATAGCTTTATGCTACTAGCTATAGAAACTAAAACAAACAAACCGTAACTGATACTTCATCTGTATCGTATCATCAGTTCCCAGTGCATCCTTCCTTATTTATGTATATGAGTGCTCTATCTGCATGTACACCTTTATGTGAGAAGGGCATCAGATTGTACTATACATACTATATATCATTGTGAGCCATCATGTGGTTGCTGAGAACTGAACTCAGGACCTTGCTAAGAGCAGCAGTGCGCTTAGCGGCTGAGCCGTCTCTCCAGCCCCACAATGTGAAGCTTTAGGTCCAGCTGTGGTGCATGTTCTTGTTTTTAGACTTTATTGTTTAGATTTGTTTATTTTTAATGTATAGAAGTGTTTTGTTTTTATGTAATCCAGTATGCATGCCCGGCACCTGGAGGGCAGTCCACGATATAAGATCCTGACATGCCACCTCCTGCGGAGTCTGTATGATATCTCACGTAGGCTGTAGCACAAACTTCAAGGAAGAGTGCCCGCAGAGAAGGTGTGTGTGTGCTGTGCTTCCTGCATCGGAGCCCTTGCACCTTTGGCATTACCTGCTTATGTCTAGTTTCTTCTGGAAGGGAAGATAGTATGTTTACGTTTCCAGAGTCTATTGATGAAACACTGCCATATATAGGAGTACATGATGCTAATGGAGAAAGATGGGTTAACATTCAAGGCAAAAAGGTTTCCAAGTTTAATCTGGTGCTTAGTAAATAAAGAACAAAAGGCAAACTTAATTAAGCAATTAAGACAGATTCAGCAAAAATGGGATAAGAAGAGAGAGATAACTGCCTGTAACTTCTTGATACTGGTTTTGGGGAAGGTTTGAGGAGTTAGAAATATGGAGGAGAAGAAAAGAAGTTCTTCAGCATAGATGACAGAAATATAAAAAGACTGTAGACCCTGTGACTGTTAACCAGAACCGCTTGCCCTTAGCTCAAAATGCCATAAACTCATGACCTAGATAAAGATTTATATTGTAGCTAATGCCAAGCCATGTCTAGCATGACCAACCGCAGACTCACCCCAGGGACATCTGTCTGATGAAATTCTATTCTCATGTATCTGATATAATTATTCTAATAATCTGTATCACATGAAAAAACAATACATGCTGTTAAGCAATTTTTTTCTGTATAAGGATGAGTCTCATGCCTAGTAAAGATGCATTCAGATGCAATTCCTTTGAGTCTTGGGTCTGTTTTTCATTTGCTGACTCCTTACCCACCTGTTCCTGAGACCCTGTCCTGTCTGAGCTGGTCTATCGCAAGATGCTATGAAACTGATGGCACAGATGGTTGGCAGCTGCTATGCAGGTTCTGGGAACTGAACGTATGTCCTCTGCAAGAGCAGCAGTGCTCCTAACTGCTCATCATCCATCTCTACTCCCTTGTTTTTTTGAGGTAGAGTCTTATTATGTAGCCTAAATTGGCTTAGACCTCCAAATGCTGGGACTACAAGTTCGTACCATCATTAGGACACTACTGAAAATGATCTGCTAGAAAGATCTGGTGGTACAATTAAATGACTGAGTTTAAACCTGAACATTTAGTTAGTTTTGTTGACTATGAACATATTTGCCATTTCATCTGTATGAATTCTAATTATAAGGACACCCACAGTCTTTTATTTTGTTCAAGAGTCAAACAAAATTTGAGTAGTCAAAATACATTTAACATAAATACATATGAATATTTGTAAACAAACAATGAAACAGCACCAGGGACCGGTATAAAATTTCATCAGTTTTTATGCAAGCTGCTTAAGTAATAAGTCACACTTGATCTATTTTCAATGCACATGACTGAAGAAACTATCCCAACTGTTCATCAGACACCCCGTGGGCTTTTCCTTAGCTGTTTCAATACTGTCTACATTTTGAATATCAACTTGAGCTGCAGATTAAGATGAAACACTTCACAGAGTGTTGAAGAAGTGATGCACTCTGTTCTCAAATTGGCATTATGCTTCCTCGGACTCAGGCCGCCTTCGACGAACTATCTTCCATCCCCAGGAGTTAAGCTCTATCAAGATGGCTCATCAGCTAAATCACGCTGGTCAAAATACCTAGTAATAAAAGGAATTCAGTATATGCATTCATATCAAGTATAGCACTACCTGTACCAGTAAAAGCTCCCAACTCTATAATAAAGAGATTAAACTACAGCCTTCTACCTGATGGGAAAACAGCTTACACATGAAAAAAATGGGGCGAGGGAGGGGGATGCTGAGTTCTTCAGTAAAGCTGCCTGGGTTTGGATGCTATCTACCATACTACATCTGTGATGTTCAGGAAGGAGGAAAGTTACTTTTCACCTTTTTGCCATAGTTTCTTCATCTCTAAATCAATGGTGTAGGGTTAAATGAGTACCTATTATGAAACACTAAGAAAAAAGCGTGATATAAAGTACTCAGTAAAATTAAGTATATTAAACAGTGTAATTATTAATAGACCAAGAAACTAGATGAGCTGGGTAGCAGTGGTGGATGCCTTTAGTCCCAGCACTTGGGAGGCAGAAGCAGGGGGATGTCTCAGTTTGACACCAGCCTATTCTACAGAGTAAATTGTAGGATAGCAGGGACTAGCTAGACAAAGAAACCTTGTCTCAAAAAACCAAAAACAAAACAAAACAACAAAACAAAGAAAAACCCCTAGAAGTTCAGTTCAGGTCAGCATATGTGTATTCTCCAATCCTATCTTGTCTATGGAAGGGAATGGCATCTGGGTATTTAGTTAAGCATTATTTATGAAGCTTTAGAAAGGTGCTAGCAAAAATAGGACAAAGCAAACAAACAATAATAACAAACCATTGATCAACGATTAAAAACATGTCCAGAAAGAGACCTTAAATCAATGTGTACCTTTTGTTTAGATTTAGAATATATTTCCAAATAAATCCAGGTGAAACCCTGATACAAGGTATTCAATCAAACAAGGAATGGAGAAGCAGCTTAGCTGGTAGACCCTCGCCTGTCATACAAGACAATGGGTTATTTCCCCAGTACTGATAAAGGAAGGGCTGGAGAGACGGCTCAGCAGTTGAGAGAGCAAGGGCTGCTCTTCCAGAGGTCCCGAGTCCAATTCCCAGCAACCACATGGTGGCTCTCAACCATGTCTAGTGGGGTCTAATGCCCTCTTCTAGCATAAAGGTTACATGCAGATAGAATACTTGCATAAAATAAATAAATCTTAAAAAGAAGATATCTATCTTTAAAAAAAGAAAATGAAATTAAACATACTAGAAAAAAATATACAGCAACTGAAAATGAATGTTCTACCTTATGTGGATAACAAACAGGAAGTCAGATCTCCTAATTTACCTGCTAACTAAGCAGATCAGTAAATTCAAAGCAGGAACTCTTTCGTCATCTTTACTGCCCTGGAAAACAGAAAAAGTACAGTTTTTCCTTAATAAATTTCCTTTTAAGATGAAAATGTGAAAATTTTATTAGGTGATAGCCATCACTACATGGAATAAACATGGATGCTGGTGTTTGACTCACGCCTTGGACAGCAGAGACTGGGAGGCAGAAGCAGGAGGAGCTGTGAATTTAAGGCCAGCCTTGTCCTCAAAAGGGACAGACAAAAGAAAACTGAACTTACATATTCCCTGAAAACATTGGGGTATTTTTTTTTTTTTTGAGGCAAGTTTGCACTGTATACTCCCAGCTGGCCTGGAACTCCTTATGTACACTTGACTGTGTATGTAGACAGGGACCTGTCTGTTTGGTCTCCTGAGTGCTTAAAGGCATGTCACTACATCTGGGCCATCTTTTATTTATAAAATAAAATTAAATATAAACACATTATTTTCCCTGATCCCAAATTTCCTCCCTCCAATCATTTCCAAGTACTCCTATCTTACTCTCTTAAATTCATGGCTTCTTCTCCTCTTTACACACACACACACACACACACACACACACACACACACACACAATCTGCTTAGTCCATATACTGTTATCTATGCTCACAATTTCAGGGCTGGCCAATTGGTGTTGGAAAACCAATTTGGGGGCCTCCAGGTATCTGCATTCTTTAGTTACTAACAAGAGGCCCTTTATTTTACTCTCAGGCTTAGGTTCCATGTAGCTCAGTGGGGCCTAAAATTCCTATGTAGTCTCCAGGCTGTCCTTTATCCTCCTGCCTCCACCTCCCCAGTGCTGACAAGCTTGCGTTATCACACTTAAAATATGCAGTGCTATGGCTAGAACCCTGTGCATGCTAGATGAACACTGTAATCAACAGGCTATAGCCCCAGCTACAATCTCTTATTTTATTTTACTGGTTTTTCAAGACAGGGTTTCTCTGTGTAATAGTCCTAGAACTCACTTTGTATACCAGGCTGTCCTTGAACTCCGAGATTCTCCTGCCTCTGCATCTTAAATGCTGGAATTAAAGGCATGTACTACCACCATGCAGATTTTATTTAATTATGTTTCTATTTAGTGTGTGTGTATTTCCCAGTATATCAAACTCAGGTCATCAGTCCAAGATCATTATCTAAAGAAAGATGCTGTTCAGAAAGATTAACAATTAATGATGGGGCAGTGGGGGCGCACGCTTTTAATCCCAGCCCTTAGGAACCTGAGGCAGGCGACCTTTTGAATTGGAGGTCAGCCTGGTCTACAGAATGAGTTCTAGGACAGCCAGGGCTACGTGGAGAGACCCTATCTCAGGTTAAAAAAAAATTAATGCTGTTTCCAAGGGTTCTAGGTTTATGGGCACTACAACAGGGGTTGATACATACACTCCCGTTAGGTGAGCCTCCCCACTATATCACAATATAGCTGTAAGGTAGTAGATGGGGCCTCTGAGCTTCCAAAACTGAACTAAAATCAGTTTCTTTTCAGGCTGGGAGAGTGCTTGCCCAGCACACTCAGGTCCCTGGATTCGATTCCCCCGTACTTAGTAAACACCGGCTTCAGACACTTTGCTATCGCAGCACAAAACAGACTAAGAGGAGGATAGAAGTCATGAGCATCAGAGCCGAAGTTCTGGGACTCGGCCATTTTAGATCTTGTCTGTGTACCTTCACACTTCCTTTACCTGGGGGAAAAAATCTTCACTGTACTTTTTTTCCACATTCTTCTTTTTTTTGATTTTTTTTTTTTTTTTTTTTTTTTTTTTTTTTTTTTGAGACAGGGTTTCTCTGTGGCTTTGGAGCCTGTCCTGGAACTCGCTCTGTAGACCAGGCTGGTCTCAAACTCACAGAGATCCGCCTGCCTCTGCCTCCCGAGTGCTGGGATTAAAGGCGTGCGCCACCATTGCCCGGCGTCTTCTTTTTTTTTGAGACAGGTCTTACTCTGTAGCCATGGTTGGCCTGAAGCTCACTTGCAGACTAGGCTGGCCTTACAGAGATCCACCTGCCTCTGCCTTCTGAGTGCTAGGATTAAAGGTGTATGCCATCATGCTTGCTCCTCCCCCCCATTTTTTAAAAATATTTATTTATTATGTATACAATATTCTGTATACATGTATGCCTGCAGGCCAGAAGAGGACACCAGACCTCCTTACAGATGGTTGTGAGCCACCATGTGGTTGCTGGGAATTGAACTCAGGACCTCTGGAAGAGCAGGCAATGCTCTTAACCGCTGAGCCATCTCTCCAGCCCTGCCCCCTTTTTTGAGAGGGTCTTTTGTATAGCCCAGGCTGGACTTAAACTGCATTACTCCCCTTTCCACCTCCTAGGTTATAGGATTACAGTCTTGCCCACCATATTTGGCTTTACATTATTTAATTTAGTATATTTGAGACTTATTTTTGTGGCCGCTTTATTCTCGACTAATAACATATCCCACATTTTTTTTTTTAAATTTTTCGAGACAAAAGTTTCTCTGTAGCTTTGGAGCCTGTCCTGGAACTAGCTCTTGAAGACCAGGCTGGCCTTGAACTCAGAGATCCGCCTGCCTCTGCCTGGCAGAGTGCTGGGATTAAAGGCGTGCACCACCACCGCCTGGCTAATCCCACATTTTTCTACTTCATATATCACTGAGATCTTCTCTCCCACCATATACACGAGTAGACAGTTAGAATCTGAAATATACACCGTAACTCACCACGAGGAGCCTAACTTCAGAGCATCTTCTTGCAAGCTGTCGAATCAGTGAATGAGCCTCAGGCAATAAAGGCTTTTCAAGACAAGCCAGCAAAGCATAAAACCATCTTCCCTAAGTAAAAATTAAGAAGTAATAAATAAACAATGAAGCACCTATTTAATCTGCTTTTCTAAATGCCTAATGCTGTTATCTGCTTACATGCTATGAACAAATCAAGGGACAAATAAATCAAATGATAGTTCTTCTGTATTGTAGCCACAGACCTAGACCACTAGCTCCTTTAAAATAGCACCCAATTCCCAACAAACTCATTTCTGCTATTTGTACTATCGTTTAGGTCTCTCTCCACCTTTTTTGTGGATACAGTCTCATTGTGTAGCCATGGCTGGCCTGGAAATCACAGAAATCTACTTGATTCTGCCTCATGAATGCTGGGATTAAAGGGGATCTTATACCATGCCTTGTTCTGAGGCTATCAATTATAAGCAAAATCATTTTTGTTTTTTGAGACAAAGTTTCATTATGTATCTCCGGCTGGTCTCCAGCTTGCCTCTGCCTCTACAATGCTGTGATTAAAGGTGTGTATCACCACACTGGGGTGTATTATCTCATTAAAAATATGCTAAAGAATTGTTTTTGTTGAGACAGGGCCTACTTTGTAGACCTTGCTGGCCTTAGACTTGCTATGTAGTCCAGGCAGGCCTTAAACTCATGAGTGATCTGCCTGGCTCTGCCCTCAGTGCTAGGATTTCATTACTACATGTGCTACTACACCTGCCTGAAGATTGAAAGAGTGACTCTCAGAGAAGACCACATCCAGGTTCCTGGTGAGTATTAATTTTCTTTAGAAAGTTTTTTTCTCTTAATACCCACGTTTAAAACCTGCATCATATACATATATTAAATATATTTTATAGATATAGATACACTTTACATATATTCTTTCATATGTTACTATATTATAGATTATATATTTATACATATTAATTTAATTTATAAACATATTAATGTATAATTAATACATTTCTAAAAATTTTTCTCCTTCAAGACAGGTTTCTCTGTGTAGCTTTGAAGCCTGTCCTAGAACTCACTGTGTAGACCAGGCTGGCCTCAAACTCACAGAGACCTGCCTCTCTTTGCCTCCTGAGTGATGGGATTCATGGCTTGCGCCACCACCATCTGGCTCCCGTTTTATATTTTTTTTAATTATTATTTATTTATTATGTATACAGTGTTCTGTCTGCATGTTGCCTGAATGTCAGAAAAGGGTATTAGATCTCATAGTAGATAGTTGTGAGAGTTCATGTGGTTGCTGGGGATTGAACTCAGTACCTCTGGAAGAACAGTCAATGCTCTTAACCTCTGAGCCATCTCTCTAGCCCCCTGTTTTGTGTTTTTGAGATAAGGTCTTATTCTGTAGCCTAGACTGACCTACAGTTCATTATGGAGCTAAGGCTGCCCTCAAACTCTTACATCTGCCTCTCAAGTGCTACAATTCACAGACAGGTGCCATGGTAATCCCAGTCCCTATGACCTTCTTAATGAGGAAAATATGGTGCTTATTTATAAACAAGATTTGGATTTTATATTGCAGAACACATGAATACATATACATGCATACACATATGTAACTATAAATACCCCAGTTACACCTCATATAAGTAAACATAATTTTGCTTGCATAACGAAAAGAAAAAGATGTAATACTACCAATTCTGGAGTAAAATCTCTTTCTCCAAACCAATTACTCAGATATTCCAAGACACTAGTGACTGTTGCCTAAAAAAAAAAATAAAATAAAATAAAATAAAAAGCAGTGGGGTGGGGGCAGGCAGCGACATTAGAGATAAAACACTGACAAGTTCGACATGAGCTTCATTAACTATAGCTAAAAAGCAGCTGGAAGGTTAAAGTGGCTTTGTTCTTTAGGCTTCCAGAGAAAACCCTCAGTAGCTAGCAACTGGTCTTTTGTTTTGTTTGAGACATGGTCTCGCTATGTGGTCCTGACTGGCCCGGGTTCACAACGCAGAGCAGAGGGTCTCATACTTGTGGTCATCCTGCTGCCTCTGCCTCCCAGTGTGAGCACAAGCCTGATGCAAAGTCTTTTCAGAGAAACAGTCTTACAGTCTCGAGTGTTAACTCAGGCTTTAAATTTAGTTTGTCACTAGTAAAAAATTTCAAATACGCCTACAAAATGAGCCTTTAGTTTACTTACCAATTCAAACAAAGTTGAAAACCAACTCTAAAGAGAAGCAAACTTAGCTAGAGAAGGCTGTTTTAAAATCACACAGATGAAATCATCAATGCGTGGAGAATTGGGTACTTAAAAAAAAAAAAAACCCAACTATGACTACCAGCTTCTTTCCTTTCTGAGACAGGGTTTCTCTGTGTAGTCTTGGCTGTCCTGGAACTCGTTCAATAGACCAGGATGGCCTTGAAATCAGAGATCCACCCTGAGTGCTGGGGTTAAAGGCTCAATCACTGATTTGACAGCTTCATTTGCTTTAAAGCTGGCAATAAAAATCTCCTCTCCTAAATGACTAATGAATAAAATTCTATCTGTTTTTCCCATTCGGTCTAATAAATTAGCTATTTTATCCAATAAATTATGTATCTTAACCTTCACTAACTATGCTGAGACAGGTCCTTTAAAACTAGAACTGTGTCTTGGCCACAAGTACTGAATTTCAGATGTAGGCTTAACACACATAATTAAATGTACACAAATGAACACGTTAGTACCATATCAGGAACACAAGAGCCATCTGTCACGGGATCCTTTTACTTGATAAAATTTTGTTTGCTCAGCTATAAAACAGCCATTAACATTATTCTCTCACATAGAAATACAATCAGAATCACTGCAGGGCCTAGGACAAGACCCTGTACACTGTAAATGCTGAGTAAGTGGATTCAAACCCTTTCATATACACTGCAAGAAAAGACTGAGTTACTGTTTGAGGATGCTTACCTGATTCATTCTGCTTACAATGCTAAGCAGGGGAGGAAAACCAATCTGGAAGAGAAAAGGAGACTGGGGTTTACTAATGTCAGCACAAGTCGGGCTTCATTTACTTCTGGTCAAACTGGAAAATTTTGTGCCTAACAAAGGCTAGAAAATTCCACCATGATTATGAGGTCAAGGCCATCCTGGGCTACACAGTGACTTCCAGGTCAGCCCTGGGCAAGACTCTGTCTCCATATCCTCCACAAAGTTATGAAAAATTTTAAAATACTCTCAATATTTCATCTGTAGAATAAATTTATCAATAACTACTTATAACTTAGTATTTAGCCCATGCTCAATCATTCAAAACAAAACAAAACGAAGAAAACCAAAGCAGCTCTTGAGAAGTACACACCTACGTTCCAGGGCATGCATTTTTTTTTTTTAAGATTTATTTATTTATTATGTATACAACATTCTGCCTCGATGTATGCCCGCACGCCAGAGCAGGGCGCCAGATCTCAGTACAGATGGTTGTGAGCCACCATGTGGTTGCTGGGAATTGAACTCAGGACCTGTGGAAGAGCAGCCAGAGCTCTTAACCTCTGAGCCATCTCTCCAGCCCCCCAGGGCATGCATTTTTTTTCAGTGCCTCTTTCTCTACTATTCTTTGTGCTTTGAATTCAGATTAAAAATGCCCTTTATTAATTCCCAACTCTGCTTCACAAAAATCAAACCAAACCAAACAAACCAGCAAACCCTGAATCCTAGGCAGACAGGACAGCAATGTACGCATAATCCTAGCTTACTCAGAAGACTAAGGCGGGAAGAAGGTAATATCAAGGCCAGTCCCAGCAATGAGACCCCGCCCCAAAATAAAACCCCTTCCACCTTCCATAACAGAATCTTTTAACTCACAAAATCATTATATAACTAACATACGAGGCCGGGCGGTGGTGGCGCGCGCCTTTAATCCCAGCACTCGGGAGGCAGAGGCAGGCGGATCTCTGTGAGTTCGAGACCAGCCTGGTCTACAAGAGCTAGTTCCAGGACAGGCTCCAAAACCACAGAGAAACCCTGTCTCGAAAAACCAAAAAAAAAAAAAAAAAAAAAAAAAAAAAAAAACTAACATACGAGAGAATATGAGCCCAGTAAATTAGAAAGTGGGCTGATACTGTCTAAGCCAATGAACTAGGTGGGAAGTTGGTTAGTATTTCCTACACAGAATCAGACAGTAGTTAGTCTTTGTCAGTCACAATGCGTTTTAGTCACACTCGGCTTTGTTTGTAATGACCTGTGAGAAGAGAGCGAGCCACTCTCAGGTCACGAGGCACACACAAACAGGCTGTGGTAACTCCAGTCTACTAGTCAATGTCTGCATGTCTGTCACTGCTTATGTTCATCTAGGTCACCACCTACTTGGACATAATCAATCCCAGGGCTTTCATCTGTAGAAGGTCCAAGAGCCCCTTCAGCACATAACCTTTCACCCAGACAAAATTTTTTCCAGCCTTCTTCATCTTCAGATTTTGGCTGAAAGAAAAAAAATTACTTATTTCTATTTATTTATTTTTACACTGATCATCATAAAAACAAGCGAGGCTAAAGATGCCACTGAAGGGAAACTTCAAATGCAAGGAATAAATAAAAATTTTGGCTCATTTTCAAGAAAAAAAAAAAAGGAAACTGAGGGTCCCCTATATCTTGATTACCCCAACTCAAAGACATGGTGCTAGCTATGGACATAACTGTGTACACTCTCTAGACCCCTATGCTGGGACTAACTGCGAGAACTGTAGGCTGTGACTGCTGTTGGAGATGTGACCTTTAAAGCTGCATAGTGAACTCTAACTCGACGTCCTCTTTTCCAAAAACTCAAACCAATTCTACTATTCATTCATGCGTGTACATGTCAGAGAACACCTTGAAAGAGTCAGTTCTCTCCTTTCATGTGGGTCCTGAAGATTAAACACTGGGTCATCAATTGCCTTCACAAACGGAGCCACCTCACTGGTCCCTGCCTGGTCTATTTATAAAGGGGGATTTGGATCATAAAGAATACATTTTTGGGGCTGGAGATATGGTTTAGCAGTTAAGAGCACTAGCTGCTCTTCCAGAGGTCTTGAGTTCAATTCCCTGCAACCACATGGTGGCTCACAAAAATCTGTAATCCATCTGGTGTCCTCTTCTGGCCTGCAGGCATACATGCAGACAGAACACTGTATACATGATAAACAAATAAATCTTTTTTAAAAAAAGGAGTGTATTTTCTTCTCTTTCAGAAGATAAATAGCTTTTGCCACTTTCTTAAATGTGTGATTCTCTAAATGATTGGAGAAAATTGCCTAGAACAATGGTATTCATCTCTTCCCTAATTCTAATCTTTAACTGCTAATATTTTAGGAGGTTAATTAATTATATCTAAGTTGCTATGACACAGAAAGAAATATCTCAATATGGATCACAGGCTTCACTATTACACAGGTTACCGTGAAGCAGTATAAATATGTTCATTGCATGACATCAATATCTCACCAAGAAAATCTAATAATCCCCCCTTCAGTGTCTTTAAATTCTGAAAATGTATTTACATTCTAAAAAAGCAACAGTTTAGAAGAATCCTTAAAAGCCTGGAGAGGCCACACAGTCATCATTTGTCAACCTAAATGAAAAAAACAGAGATGCCCGCACGGCAGCACATGCCTGTCCCAGCACTCAGGAGGTAGAGGCTTGAGGATTCCAAGTTTAAGGATAGGCTGAGCTACATAGCAAAACTTGTTTTAAGAAATCAAGGGCTAGGGATAAGAACTACATAGCATATGCAAGGCCCTGAGTTCAATCCCTAGCACTGCAGGAAAAATAAACACATAGGAAGCCATAGGAGTACTTAGGGAGGTGGAGGAAAGGACCAGAGCAAACTCTGAAAAAGAAGTCTGAGGGCAAACAAAGAGCAGCTGGGCAGAAGTCCTGGTAGAGGTTTGCATTTACTTGCTTTTTTGAGATAAGATTATCCTATAAGCCCGGACTGACCTTTAAATTACTCTCGCTGGCCTCAAACTTATGATCCTCCAGCTTCAGCCTCCAGAGTGCTGGGATTTAGGAGAGTGCCACTGCTCCTGACTCAGAAGTCCTTCTGTATAAGGTGGTGGTGGTCTTGTGTAAGATTGTAATTTGACAGTCTTTTATGGATATTGTTAGGCTATAATCCTAAGGACACAGCCTAACTTCTCAGCCTTACTTATTATTTCGGCAGAACTGATACAGCAGTAATACTCTATTTTGTTCCTGACCATTTTCACATATCCTAAGTCTCTCAAGATAAGGTGAATCAAACAGTCAAGGGCCAGTCTTGGTGGTGCATGCCTTTAATTCCAGCACTCCAGAGGCAGAAGCAGGCAAAACCCTTGTGTCTAAGGTTAGCCTGGTCTACATAATGAGTTCCACATCAGCTGGGGCAATGTAGTGGGACCCTCTCTGAAAAAACTAAACACTGACTCAGACTACTACTATAGCAAACTGATATACACACATATTGGCATAGGTAGGAAAATAAAAATAATATAGACTAAGCATTTAACTCTTTAAAGACTAGACTACGGATTACTTCACAGGCACACGCTGGGTGACGGAAGCGGAGAAGCTCACATACCATTGTCACGTTGCTGTCCAACTGCTGAGATCTCCAGTGATGTCTGTGCTTGTTCACACTCTACAGGAAGCAAAGTTAATCATCTTCAGAGAACGAAAAACTAAAAAGAAACAAGTTTTTCTACAAAATTTCAACTACCCTAAAATTTATTTATTTATTTATTTATTTGGTTTTTCGAGACAGGGTTTCTCTGTGGTTTTGGAGCCTGTCCTGGAACTAGCTCTTGTAGACCAGGCTGGTCTCGAACTCACAGAGATCCGCCTGCCTCTGCCTCCCGAGTGCTGGGATTAAAGGCGTGCGCCACCACTGCCCGGCCCTAAAATTTAAAAAATACATAAATGCCAAATATATTCTGATGATTAGAATAATTTGGTAAGTAATTCACAAATACTTGAGTATTTATAATTATTTCAATTACAGACAAAGGACAGAAGTACATCTGAGGAAGTTTAATTTGATTGAAGGGGACATTTACCTGTCGAACAGCTGAGAACTGGACCACTTGCTGCTGCTGCCACTGAAGTGTTGGAGAATAACCTTCTGGGGCAGGCTGGCATCCTGAAAGCTGGAAATCAGGTCACAGATGTTAGGCTGTTTCAGTGCTGTAACTAGAATCTATGCCTATGCAGAGTAAGAGCAAAATCAAGAAGAAGAGTAAATACGTTTTAGTGAATGATAAGATTATTTAAGAGAATAAAGGTCCATTTTATTAGAGCAGAAAGGCAGGTAGTTCACTTTACATCTATGATCCAGTTAATAAAAGAGATCTTTTGGGGCTGGAGAGATGGCTCAGTGGTTAATAGCATTGACTGTTCTTCCAAAGGTTCCAGGTTCAATTCCCAGTACCCATATTACAGCTGAAAACTGTCTGTAGCTCCAGTTCCAGGGGATCTGATGCCCTTATACAGACATACAAGCAGGCAAAATACAAATGCGTTTTAAGTAAAAAATAACAAAATCATTTTTTTTAAAAAAGAGAGATGCTTTGTCATTTTACTTAGAAAAATATGGGCTGAATGTTGGAGGTGAAGTTCTTATGAAATATGAAGGATATGAATCTAAAGGATTATAACTTAATTCTATTTTTCTATAATAGTGAGGAGAAACAAAGAAGAGAGAATAAAGAATTTTGGAATGGTCAAAAATGTATCCCAAAACTCAAAGATAGTTGACTTGAAAAAAAAATCTACATTTTTAAAACCTTTTTTTTTTGAGGGGGGGGTAAGAGTGGGCATGGTGACGGCATCACGACCCCAGGAGTTCTCAGACGAAGTAGTTAAATACCCTGTGTGCCTAACCTTACTCTTGTTTCCTAAAACAGCACACAGATAACAAGTGACCAGGCATCGTCTTCTAATAAAACAATTGGGTAAATTTGAAAAAAGCTAAGTTTACATGAAATCATGTGCCATCAAGTAAAAATTTGTGAAGCTATATAAAACCTTATAGTGCCTGAATTAAAGCATCCATATTATAAACATTAAAGGAATTGCCTCAAACACAAAAAATTTATCAAAAGCCTTCCAAAAACACCCAAAAACTTGATCTCAAGCTGGGTGGTGGTAGCACACGCCTTTAATCCCAGCACTCGGGAGGCAGAGGCAGGTGGATCTCTGTGAGTTCGAGGCCAGCCTGGTCTACAACAGCTGGTTCCAGGACAGGAACCAAAAGCTATGGAGAAACCCTGTTTCAAAAATTAAAAAAACAAAACAAACAAACAAAAAAATACCTGATCTCAGCAACCGCCTACCTCCCCCCCTCCATTTTTCTGAGATAAGGTTTCCCTTCATGGCCTTGGTTGTCCTGGAAATCACTGTGTACACTGGGCTAGCCTCGAACTTCACAGAGGTCTGCCAGCCTGTCTCTCTAGTGCTGAGAGATTTTTAACTAAAAAGTTTCATTTATTTTGTGTGCATGTTTTGTCTGCATGCATATCTGTGTACTATGTGCAGGTCTGGTACCTGAAGGGGTGAAACGAGAGCATCAGAACCCCTGGAACTAGAGCTTAGTGATAGTAGTGAGTAGTCACGTGGGTGCTGGGAATTGAACCTGCATCCTCTGGAAGAACATCCAGGGCTTTTAACCACTGTGCCATCTTTCCAGGCCTGCAGTCATTTTATTAATTGAGTGCTGTTCATTTTCTTCATGCAATGACCAGATGGCGTAATTATTTGGTTATTTTCTGTGTCCTTTAGGAAACTGTTACTGTACAGGCATAGGGGACTTCCCTCATTCTTTCCTTCTGAGATGAGGGTCTTATATATTCCAGGCTAGCCTGAAACCCTCTATATAATAGAAAATTACCTAGACCTCCCAACACTCTTGTCTCTACCTCCAAGTGTTGGGATTACAAGTGTTTACCAACATGCCTTCTCTGTAGACACCTTTCCTCTATTATCTTCTGCTGTGTTCCTAGTATCCAGCGCAACCTAACTGCTTAATATAAAGTATGCAGGATAAGCAAACGAATAAAGACCAGAGTCTGCACGGAAAGGACAGAAAGATGCTACGACATTTGTGTTTCCGTTCTGAGAAAATACCAGGTCAAATGGAGAATGTGCACCAAGCACCAGTTTGATAATAACTATAAAGGTATAGCCAGTAAAACATTCCTTCATATTTTACTTGTAAAGGTCCGCATTAGTAAACAATTGAAGTATTTTTTCGAGGTGTGTGTATGTAATCTTTTAAATGACACACACATTTACACTTTCAGAGGGGTCTCATAATGCAGGCTGGCATCCAAACCAAAATTTGTGAGCCTGCAAGTGATGTCTAAGTTTGTAGGGAGCAATCTAACCTTACCCTACACACCGTAACTAATTTATTATTTTTTCTTTTTTCTTTTTTCTTTTTTTTTTTTTGCGAGACAGGGTTTCTTTGTGAAGCCTTAACTATCCTGGAACTAGCTCTGCATACCAGGCTGGCCTCAAACTCCCAAATGCTGGGATTAAAGATGTGCACCACCACTGTCAGGCCATAACTGATTTTCTTGATAAGATAGAAAATCTTCAGTCATTTGATTGTGTGTGATTAGAAGAGTCCCATTTGGTTAGTAAAACTCACAGAAATATTCACACTTTGCTTCCTCTTCAACTTCTTTGGATCAATTTGGGCTACCACAACATCTGGACACTGAGCCGCTTCGATCCTACAAGCAGTACATGTGTGAAACTTATTATTATTGCTCTTTGCTCGTGTCTCGTGTGCAGTGCAATAGATGCATGTTACTTCATTATGAAATCGCAAATAAAATTCAGACTCCCAACAAAAGAACAAAACGCCCGACACTGCCTAAATTAAAAGAGATTTAAGAGCACACCTTTTAACGTGCAATCAAGTTCAAGGCATATTTGCCCACGGTAGGTTGTATATACAGGGATCTTAAATTTCCCAGACCGCCCGAGACAGGAACCCAAACAGAGAAGGGACTCTGTCGCACACTGCGGGTCAAGCGCGACACCAGGTCTATGCCCACTCGCGCAGGGCAACATCACTCACTGCACCCTTCTCAGGTATTCCTGCGGCGTCCTGGGGGGCACCGAGGGATCGAAACCTTCCGTCAAGTCACAGGGCTCCACAGGTAACAACCGTGGCATCAACTCTTCCACCGCAGACTCGGCCTGAACCCACGCCATGGTAGTCAAACCCGCCAAGCCCTATTGCGCCTGCGCTCAGCTGATGCTGAGCTCCGGCGACCTCCGGGGCGGGGACGGGCCTAGGGGGGCGGAGCCACGCAAACCTGCTGGTTGCATCAAGTTTATGGCTCCGGCGGTGAAATGAAGCTAACGGAAGTGGTTCCGAAAGAATTTCTAGGTCTTTTTTTTTTTTTTTTTTAAACCTAATTTCATTTTCTCTTCTGAAGCTTGGGTAGGGAGCTGGGACCGAGGATGAACTTTTATAGCATTGAATAGTGTCTAAATTAATGCTGTACTGATCATTTTTAGAGTTCTAAAGAATTCAACCACTGGTTGAAGCACATTACATTCATCTAAATCTTAACAATCTTTTGACGAGGGTGGTGCCTTTCCGGCTTTGCGGGGGAAGAAATTGACACAAAGTGGAGGGATGGAGAGCTTTATTTATTTATTTAAGATTTCTGTCTCTTACCCGCCACCACCTCCCATTTCCCTCCCCCAATCAAGTCCCCCTCCCTTGTCAGCCCAAAGAGCAATCAGGGTCCCTGCCCTGTGGGAAGTCCAAGGACCACCCACCTCCATCCAGGTCTAGTAAGGGGAGCATCCAAACTGCCTAGGCTCCCCCAAAGCCAGTACGTGCAGTAGGATAAAAAACCCATTGCCATTGTTGAGTTCTCAGTAGTCCTCATTGTCCGCTATGTTCAGCGAGTCCGGTTTTATCCCAGGCCTTTTCAGACCCAGGCCAGCTGGCCTTGGTGAGTTCCCGATAGATAGAACATCCCCATTGTCTCAGTGTGTGGGTGCAGCCCTCGCGGCCCTGAGTTCCTTGCTCGTGCTCTCTCTCCTTCTGCTCCTGATTTGGACCTTGAGATTTCTGTCTGGTGCTCCAATGTGGGTCTCTGTCTCCTTTCATTGCCTGATAAAGGTTAATATTCAGGAGGATGCCTATATGTTTTTCTTTGGGTTCACCTTCTTCTTTTTTTTTTTTTTTGGATTTCTCGAGACAGGGTTTCTCTGTAGCTTTTGGTTCCTGTCCTGGAACTAGCTCTTGTAGACCAGGCTGGCCTCGAACTCACAGAGATCCGCCTGCCTCGGCCTCCCGAGTGCTGGGATTAAAGGCGTGCGCCACCACCGCCCGGCTGTTCTTATTTAGCTTCTCTAGGATCACTAATTATAGGCTCAATGTCCTTTATTTATGGCTAGAAACCAAATATGAGTGAGTACATCCCATGTTCCTCTTTTTGGGTCTGGCTTACCTCACTCAGGATAGTGTTTTCTATTTTCATCCATTTGTATGCAAAATTCAAGAAGTCCTTGTTTTTTACTGCTGAGTAGTACTCTAATATGTATATATTCCATACTTTCTTCATCCATTCTTCCATTGAAGGGCATCTAGGTTGTTTCCAGGGAGAGCTTAATTTTTATTTTATTTTTTTCGGAGAGCATCTTAGTGGTGTGCAGCTCATGCTATTCTTTTTTTTTTTTTTTTTGATTTTCGAGACAGGGTTTCTCTATGGTTTTGGAGCCTGTCCTGGAACTAGCTCTTGTAGACCAGACTGGTCTCGAACTCACAGAGATCCGCCTGCCTCTGCCTCCCTCTGATGGGATTAAAGGCCTGTGAGCTACGGCCGCACGGCTCCCTGTCGCGTATTTTAACCTTAACATGACTCCCCGACTCCCGAGATCTGCAGCTTCGCAGCGGTGTCTTTCCGCCACGTCCCACTCCTTATTACTCGGGTTACAGCCTTTCCGCCGCTCGCCCCGCCCCTTCCTGAACTATCCCCGCCCTCTGCCTGGGCCACTCAGGGACGTCTTTGCTCGCCCCACCCTCTTTATTACCCCCGGTCCGTCTCTTCCGCCACTCATCCCGCCCATTACCAACTGAGCGCCCCGCCCCTTCCGGGACTGTCCCCGCCCATTGCCTCCTCTCGCCCCGCCCCTCCGCTGCCCGCCCCGCGTCGCCTCCGCCCCTTTGACGTGGCAGAGGCGGCACCAGCCATGTTGTCCAGGCCGAGGCCGTCCTGGAGGCCGGGGGCGGGGCGGTGCCGCCCCTGATTGCGGTGCCACGGCTGCTCCCGGGCGGCGGAGGAGACTGACTTTGCAAGGCGGAGGCTGCGACTGGCGCGGAGCTCGTTGGAAGGTCCGGTGGTAAGGACGGGCGTCGTTGCCACCTCTGCTCCGCCCGGGCTGGGAGGCGGGCAGCGGGGTCTTAGGACGGTGTTGGCTCTGTCCTCGTTGTCCCCAAGCCTGAGGGCGAGGAGCGCCGGAGGCTGTGTGGCCCAGCGCTGACCCGAGAGCGCTGAGCCTGTCACGGCGACCGAGCGCCCTCATCTCCATCTCCAGGACTCCTGGTTCAGGTGGAAGCCTGGGAGCGGGGTGCAGAAGGGCGGTCCGAGCAGCTGGCCCTGCACCCACCCGCACCCCCTGGATGACAGGCTTTACCATCCCTGCCCAGGGCTTCTGGGCCCTGGGCCCTCCGGGTTCGTTTCTTGACTTCATCAGGACTGCCCTAGACTTTGAACCCAGGTGACTACATCATCCGTGATTCGGCCTTGGGCCTTGGAAAGGTTAAGGAGAAAAGTACCGGGGAAAGCTGATGCCTTGGGCCCGTTCCTAATGCTCGCCTTTCGGAGCGGAGCAGTACTGTGCACTCGGGCATCCATTCTGTCGGTGGAGCTTTACTGTTTGTGGAAAAGGAAGAGTAAGATTCACAGTAAATGCAGAGGTAGACTAGAGGGATGTGAATTCATCTTCTCACCTCACCTTCTGTCTGGTCCTGTCTTAACACACTCCCACCCTAAGCCGCGAGCAGCTAGGTATATTCGCTTAAAGAAATTTAAATATAAATGCATTTAAAATCTCTTCTTTCCAGGCTCTTCAAAAGTCCACATGGTTTTAATTGTTTCTTAGACCCTATAGTATTATTGCTCAAATTTCTCATCTAACTGATGTGAAAATTAAAGGCCAGGGAAGTTTATTCCCCAAGAGCATAACATTTGTTACTCAGTTCATTTCACTGAAAATTTTACAACTGGGCCTGGGAAGATGGCTCAGAAGTTAAGAGCAACCAGTGGGTTGCTCTTTCAGAGAACCTGTACAGACGTAGACACGCACACGCGCACTCGCACTCGCACACACCCACACCCACGCACACACACACAGCGGCTCACCACTGTCTTACAACCATCTGTAACTCCATTTGTAGGGCATCCACTACTCTCTCCTGGCCTCGACAGGCACTACACACACATGATATACAGATGCACATGCAGGCAAAACACCCATACCGAAAAATGAAATGGAATAAATACATATGTAAAATATTTTACAACTGAAATGTAGAGAGGAACAATGGTAACAAATAACTAAGGAGCTTAAATTTATTTGCAATTTGTGTGTTTTTCAATTAGGAATGCAATAAGGAGGTTAAAATGGGAATACAGAAAAACAAAACTAGGGAAAGCCTTTCAAGATACTATAGGAAAATATTTGCTGTGCTATGTGAAAGTGACATGATGCTTTTGTTCTACCAGGAGGAATTATTAAAATAGCTTTCACTGCTATAAATCTTTGGAAAAACGTGACATTTCTTTAGGATGGCCTTTTGTATCTTATGTCACCCTTTTAAAAAGATGAGTTTGTTAAGTCTGCATTCTAATGATATTTCAGGGTGTGTGTGTGTTTAACAGGGTCTCCAGGGTCTCACTCTGGCAGCCTGGAACTGACAGGAGATCCACCTGCCTCTGCCTCCCAAGTGCTAGGATTAAAGTTGTGTGCCAACTTTATGTTATGTTGAATTTATGTTAGGTAATATAAAACAATGCCTGGAAAATGCTAATACTAGGTAATAAAGTGCTTGCCAAAAATTGTTATCACATTAAGGAGGTTCGCGAAAGGGCTTTTGTGCTGGGATTTGTGATTTTCAGCTTGAGCAGTTACTGCTATTGAAAGTAAGGAAGTGTTGTGCATCGCCCTGTAACTAGACCAAGTGAGAGCAGGTGCGGCCTGAGCAGAAGTTCAGAAACACAGCGGATGTCATTGAGTAAATGTAATTTTAAAGCAGAGAGGTTGGGAGGAACACACGAAGGAAATGGAAATCGTGCTCAGATATCACTCAGGTGACATTTTGCATATGCTAATAAAATACAAGCCTTCGGAGTTAGAATCCAGTCCATAGGCTGGAGAGATGGCTCAGCCAGTAAGAGCCTTGGCTGCTCTTCCAGAGGACCAGCATTTAATCCCTACTCCCCCACGTGGCAGCTCACAACTGTTTTATAACTCGAGTTCCAGGGAATCCAACACCCTCACCAAATATAAATGTAGGCAAAACAACAATACACATAAAAAGAGCAGTAAATCATTTAAGAAAGTATTCTGAATGTAACATGCTTAAAAAAATATCCAGTCTACAACCTGTTGTGGAAACTTAAACCTGGCTCTTTGGTAAACACCTTCTGAGTCTTTGAATCTTTCTCACTGAGAGAGAGCTAAACAGTGGTTCTCGGGACCTCCTTTTAAACATTGTTGAGGATCTGAAGAAAAACATGCTTACTTTTGTATCTCTTAAACAAAGACTGCTATGTGTAGTCTGCATTCCAACAGAGAGGAGAGGGGAAACAGCTGAAGATTTTTATTTATGTAACCATGTCTTACTATGTGATCTCTGCTCAGTTTCTCTTCTCCCCTTACTTTTAGTATTATTTCTTTGAGACAGGATCTCACTCTGTCAGCCTGTAGCGCAGGTTACAGTAATCTTCCTGTCTCAGCCTCTCCTAGTGCTTGGGTTGCATGTTTGTACCGTCATACTTCTCTTTGCTGGTTATACCAGACTGGTTGGTTGTTTCTCTTTTCAAGGAGAGAGCCTAGCACATAGGACAGCAGCAGATGGAAAGTCATCCAAGCTTGGTGGTTTCCAGCAACTTCATCCATTAGTGCGGAATGGCTCACAGAATTAATCCTAAGTTTGACAACACTTTCCAACCTGGTCATATCAGTATTTTTTATTGACTAGAAA